ACTTTCTTCAAGAAACAAGCATCCAACATGCTCTATATGCATTACTTAAGTGTTATCAAAAATTTTGCCACCTCTTAAGAAGTAAAAAAAAAACAATTGTTTCTGAGGCATTATTGTGCCTTTAAACATTCTAAAAACCCTACCCTACAGCTTTTTTATTTATGTTTTATTGTTTTCTGTATCGCTTAATCTGAACTTCCTTGACTTTAAATTAATGTAAGTTTGAATGTAAAAATCAACTCCAGTTTCAATTTAAAAAATGTGTTGTTTTGTTAAAAAAAAAACACACAATGATCCAACTCAAAAGTATTCATCAAGTATACTAAATTGTTAACAGGTAGTTATGTCAAAGTAAAAAATTCTATGTGATATTCCAAAAATAATTATTTTCTATATAAAAAAATTAACAAAGACATACAAAATGACCAAAACAGTACAAATTTATTTAAAATTGCCTTAAACACAGCAAAATAATAATTGTATTTTCAACAAGGAAATAAATATGTTTTTTCTGAAAGATAAAAAATCTTTTCCACAAAAAAAAATAATTTCAAGGAAATGAAAAATTATCTTGATTAAAAAATACAAAATGAAATTCAATTTCCTTAATTAAGAAAACAAATTGATTAAACATAATGATAGATATACAAAGTGACCAATTAACAGCATGTCAATTACAATATCCTACCCCCATATTGTCCATTCAGTGGCCAAATGTGTGAAAACTTTAAGATATACAACAATAGATCACCATGTAATTGGGGCCAACAGGGTCTCAATACTCAATATAGGTGTGACATAATGAGAACTTATCAACCATATCTCACCAACAAGGTGACAGTTTGCGCAAAAATTAAGGGGTCCAATTAACAAGAAAACAATGGTGGGTAATTGCCACCAGTTACTAACCCCTTCCTGTGGACTGGAAGTGGCTGAGTTTTAACTCAGAGTCTGTCACCTGCCAATTATCAAGCAAATCTCAACTTTTCCTATATAAACCCCAAAAATTCTTCACAACATTATCAGTTACTCAAGCTACTCTGAAAAGTAACTATTGATAACTTAAGAAAACCCAAAAAATGTAAAGATATAAAGTTAAACATTTATTTATTTCTTTTATTTACTCAAAATTTCTCAAATAGCATTTGTTTATTTTAAAAGTAACATTTTTAAAATTGATAGAATTCTTTGTAAGATTATTGTTGAAATTTTGTCATTTTCATGGCAAAGCTGCATTATTCTTGTGGGCACTTGGTTGAGGCTGGCTTGTAAAAAAATTGCTAGCACAATCCTGTGCTTACAAAGTATATTGTGGACATTTATCTTTTTTTTTCAATTTTTTTTAAGAATGGACTTATTTTTCATTTTCTATGCAGGTACTTGGTTGATGCTAGTTTGATCACTATTACTAGCACAATCCTGTGCTTGCATGGAAATTAGAAAAAAACAACAGCGAGGTTTTTTACACAGACATAACAAACTGGGATTATTTACTGGATGGAGGATGAAATATGTTATGTGCTTGCAGGTACTTGATTGTTGCTAGTCTGTCACTTTAACTAGCACAAACCTGTGCTTGCAGGGGTATATCATACAATCGTCTCAAGTAGATGCCGACTGCCGATATACGCTACACAGTCTCACATGTACATATGTTAGCATTGACTTGATGCGGGGAGAAATAATACCCCTGCACCAAGTCTTTTCTAACCCATATGTTATGTGATAATTCTACAAGGAATTCTGGTATCTTTTGGTGACTAGCACTAATTGAGGCATATTCTTGGAACTTTCTAACCCTGGTATCATTAGGTGCTGGTTTTCAAATTTACTAGCACTTTCTGATGCTGGGTTTGGGGAATATAATAATATTCTGATCTTCTAGGAATTCGTTATACTCCTGGTATAATTTGGTGAATCGATTTACTGGCATTTTCTTGTGCTGGAATTTGGGCATATAATGTAATGGATCTACATGGAATTCTTATTTTCTTATCCTGGTATCTTTAGGTGCTGGTTTTCGAGTCAATTTACTAGCACTTTTTGATGCTGGGATAGGAATATATTATTATATCATCATATGTTAGTATTACAGGTTTTCACAGGTTTGGGAGGCATTCTGGATTGAGGCAACACAACTTGTCTGGTTGTAAGTACTGTGTTGTGCATATTTTATTATTTGTAATAGCACAATCCAGTGCTTGCAGCTGTGCAAGAAATTTTCAACACTTCTGTCAGGAAGAGTTCATTTCTTTTCTTATTTATATCATGTATGTTTGTGGGTACTTTGTTGTGCTGGTTTATGTCATTGTTACTAGCACAATACTGTGCTTGCAGATGTGCAAGATATTTTCAACATTTCTGCCAGGAAAAGTTTATTTTCTTATCTTATTTTCATCATGTCTATTTGTGGGTACTTTGTTGTGCTTGTTAATTCATTATTACTAGCACATTACTGTGCTTGCATATATGCAAGAATTTTTCAACCATCTGCCATAAAATCTTTATATTTAACAGTGTCTGATGTTTGTGGGTACTTTTGTTGTGCTGGTTTAATTATTGTTACTAGCACAATACTGTGCTTGCAGATACCAGCCATGGATTCATCATGGTACTTCAGCCAGGAACACATTCATATTGACATGGAGAGTTAGCCTAAGTTTCCCGGTATATAGTGGTGATAGTTGTTATTTTATTACTAGCACTATTTTATGCTGGGGCATGAAAGGCATTGTACATCATTACTTATCTACCACAGAATGCAAGCTTTTGTATTACCTTTATGGGCATTTTATACTTTTCAGTTTCAAATCTTGCAAAATTATTTTGTAGATTTATTTATTATTTATGGTCTGTCTTTTTTGCACATGTTTAAATTCTATACATTGAGAGAGAAACAAGAGATTTTAAAATTTGTTGAAATATGAATTCTTTTAGCGGGAGACTCCCACTTTCTGCAGCCATATTTTCTTCAAATGAGGGGTAATTTCACAAGTTAAAGAAATCTCCCTATTTTTGAAGTCAGAACTTCCTTCTTTGTTTGTTGCAAATTATAAAATCTCCTTCTTTGAAAAAAAAAGCATTTTATTTTCACAAGACCTATGTTTTTTTTTTAATTTTGTCTATACTGGGATCCTACATGTTTACCGGACAAAAGCTATTCCTGCTGAATAGTGCTTTTATTTTTGCTTTGATTGAAAAATCACTCGGTCTGAATCGTACATACTTCTATTTCAAAGTAAATAACAACAAAACCACTCTCAGGTAAATGGATAAAGAGGCCCTTTTTGTGTTATTTTAGATAGGTTTTACTTTTAATTCTTCTCCACGTTATCTCAGGAGACAATCGTAACATATTTTAATGATAATTACAATAATAGTAATTTTAAATTTACTAAATATATAAGTAACTTGTTGTCTATTACAAAGAAATGCACATTCAAAACATACAAGGAAACGGGTTACGCCCATGGGAGGAATCTCTACATGAAATGTAAACAAAAAAATTTATCGCTTTTGTAACAAATGCTACATGATCACCAAAAGGGAACTGTATGACAAGGAAACAGATTTCCATTTAAATATCAAAATGTTTTATACATTATCATTAAGAATCAATATGTTAATAGTGTTATTTTCAATTACACCCCAATATATTGGCAGTAGTTTCTTGTTTTAGTGACATACTGTTTCTTTCAATATCTTAACCTTGTCTTTCAATAGTTGTAGTTTCCTTGCTGATTATTTTAAGATTAATTTCAATTCAGGACTTGCAATGTCTCGTAAAATGAGCTGTCTACACGATTTTTTCTCTCTTATAATGCCCTACTTTAAAGACACATTTCTACAGTCAAATGTTTAATTTCATGTTTTAACAAAAGTAATGTTTACGTATATTAAGAACCCAAAATTATTTGGGTAAAATTCCATTCTTTGTTATTGTTTTAAATAAAAGTACAGCGAAAAAACATTTTGTCCGGAAATATGTAGAATCCCCGTACAACTTTTCCTACATAATTTATCGAGACAAGTAACTATACCAACTGCATATAGTACTTGATTGTAGTTATTTAAAAACTTTATTGTAGGACAACAGAGATGTTTTTATGTCCATCTTATTTTTCACATATTGTCAGTGTTAATATTTACCATTGACTGTAAGCCTGTAAAAAGGGACATGTCAGCAAAACTAGTACAGTCGACTCCACTTATAACGAACTCGCTTATAACGAATTATCGTTAATAGCGAACTAAATCTGACATCCCCGGCCGATTCCTTCTTTATTTTATATTAAATCACATTGCTTAATACGTACTCGCTTGTAATTTTCGGCTATAACGAACCATTTTTTCAAGCCCCAAATGACGGAAAAAATTTAAATTTCCTCGGTTATAACAAACTGTTATAATTTAAATATCGGAATGCGCCGATAAGGATCAGTACATGAATAAAGCTATCCGATAATTAAACAATCATATGATTGCACAAGTTAGTAATGGCTTCAGGGAATAAAGATTTTGATAAAATGTTCTCACATATAATTTCCTACTTGTTACGGAAAATTTGTATTTCACACCCTCAGTTGATTGCTGTAAATACCCGATAATTGCCAAATAATCGATTTTTATTGTTTGCAAAATTAACCAAACGATAATAAACAAAGAAAACAAAAGGTAAGAACTTTATAGACAATTAATACATGAATAAATACTTGTACCATGTACATGATATATTGCTCAATATAATGCCCCGCATTAAATAACCGCTGAAGTAAATACAGGTTACATCGGTAACCAGTGAAGAGTATGGCTTTTTCACGGCAAATTTCCCCATCCAAACAAGTCAGCAAGTTGTTGCTACTTCGCTTAAAGCGGACTTCGGATATAACAAACAATATTTTAATGTCCCATTGAGTTCGTTATAACCGGAGTCGACTGTAAATATCTAATAAAGTTATATATATATTACCCAAACAATACAAACACCAACTTTCACTTACCATACACTCACACTGTTGACATCTATCCACTGGGTTAGGGAACACCTCGTTGTCCCGGATATTCTTGTCACCAAAGCGACAACCCCTTCCACAAACAGGGCATCCACATTCACCCCTTTCTGGATATCTACAGTGCACTATCTCACATGATTTTTTCTTGCAGATTATTGTTCCATCCTACAGAAAAAGGAAAATGATAATTTTGCTATAAACAATACAAAAAACTCATGCTATTCATGCTAAACATCTTAAAGCAGCACGCATCCAGAGTCAATCTAATTTTCATAAAAATTATCAAAATGTATAAAAAGAGTAAAAATATTGTGAAGTGAACAAAGAAAATAATGTTCACATTGCAAACAGCACTTACAAGCAATGTAAATTACCCCCAAAAACTGAAAAAAAGTTGAAAAAAATACTGCTAAATTGATCATTCATTGCACATAACATAGAAATTATTACTTTTACCATGGATCTTTATACTTTTTCATAAATTCACAGCAATTCTTTTATCAAATTTGATTTTCTTGGAATATTTTGGTTCATCTGGAGACATGCCATATTAAGATGGAATGAAAAACAATTAATGCATACAATCATCAGACAGCAAAAATGACCAAACTGGTCTTGGTCTGCAAGGGTGGCATTGGTATAATCTGTTGCCACCAGCAAAAATATTATTATGTGAAAACTGAGTGTATATTTCATGTATAGCATTTTATAATGCTTTGGCATAAAAATATAGAATAATTTTGTCTGATGGAAAATAATGCAGATTTAATTAAAAGTTTCCATATTTAAAAACATTACTAAGAAATAGTTCAAATGTCAAAGAAAAATCATAAGGGTGAAATTTGGCATGATTGGACAAAGTGATTCCTATATAGTTATGGCCCTGTATATTTGAAACCAAAGATTTTCCAAAGGTAAATCACACTTAGCACCTCATGCCACCCTGGCCTGTATCAATGTATCAAGATCGTCATGCTGTATCATTAGTGACTGGATTTATGGATTTTTTTATATTAAAAGTTATTGTAATTTATATACATTAAATACATATCATAAAATTATTGAACTTATCATTTTAAATATTTATTAAAAATTATAGTGAATTCATAAAGTAGATAGCGCACAACTTTTTCATAAAGTTATGCATTAATTCCCCTGGTCACAATTTTTCGAGTCAGACTGAGTCTTACAAAATAAAAAACGCTTATTTAAATTCGCCATTATAACTTAGCTTTAGGCCTTTCAGCCTTTTTCACCAGTTTTTATTAAACATTTATCATAGATTAATAATAAATGCTGCTGAAGAAGGCCAAAAAGGTTGAAAGCTAGGGCAAATTTAGGGTTCTTTCATTACATACATGTTTATAGATAACCTATAGTAATAATTTACTTCAAATGTATAAGAATTTGACAGTTCACATGAATGATATAATGAATTGTTTACTAAATTTTATTAAAAAGACTGGCACTTTTGTCAAGGGAGGTAATATTGTAAAAATAAGGAACTTACTACAGTATAACTTGCTGTCCATGACATTTGAGCAACCTAAGCCCCAAGTGCCGGTATAGACAAAGTTAACAGCATAAACATTTTGGATATTATGAATTTCAAAATTGTCCTACAAAAAATTTATTTTATAAACATTCAATAAAGAACATTAAGGATAACTCAAATGACGTCACATCACTAGTGTTATATCGTTTTTTATTGAGTTGTTTTATTATACTAGTATTGCCGCAACATGGTTTATATGACAAACTGATATACAGAACATCTACCAAATGTAACTTCTATATATATTTCTATGTATATATCTATGTAGTCTATGTTAAATGATGTCCATCCACCCGGCAAGCACAAAAAGTAGCTTTTGCTGTCAAGTACAGACCCCAAACATGTCACTCATGTCATTCCCTTAAGGAGTTTGATGATTTTGAAGCACAAAGTACTGATAATATACCTCCATGTAATTTCCACGGAGTATTAGCCAAAGATATAAATTTTGTGCAAAAAGAAGGTCACTGTAACTATGATGATTAATGAGAACTTAAATGAAAATAATGAAAGGATGTATCCCTTGTTAGTGCCAAGCAAAGGCATTTCAATACATTATTTATATAATATTTATATTCATGGACTGTGTTTTTTGTTATATATATATATAATTATATACTACACACAATACCATATGACATTACCTGACATTCACATTGAGTACAGTTGTCATTAACATCATCATACATGTCCCTGTTTTGTATAACAACCAGCCCCAGTTGACAGTTGTTGCATTCGGGACAGCACTCCCCACGGGTCGGATGCTGACATGTTAGGGCAGGACACTGCCGCCTTTCACAAGAAACTGTTCCTCCCTATAATTAAATCAACCAAGCTAAATACTGTGAATTCACTTAATTTTGTGGGCATGAAATTTCGTGGTCTTGTCAAAAAGGACATTTTTGTTGGTCCTTATATCCATGGATTGTCTAAGGTAAAATGCAAACAATGTAATGCAATATAATGTTACAGCAGACTTTATGACCTATCCACAAAACCACAAAAGTTAGTGCCCCATAAATAATAATGATTTTGTAATACTGCAAGATAAACTAGGTATTCTCCAAAATTAAATATCAAACTTAAATAACTAGCCTAATAAATACACTTTGTTTGTAGTATTTCATTACAGAATGCAAAAATTAAGCACCCAGAGGTTCATACTCGCCTGGAATCCAGGCATTGGTATTTTTTGCTTTTTCATAACTTAAACGTTATTTAATATGAGCACATCACTATTACTGGTTGTTCAATTTCTGATAATATTGATCTGCCTAACAGAAGCACATGAAAAATAGAAAGACTGGAACCCAGGCAATTAATGGCCATGCCCTTAATTTAAGAATGTCACCAAGTTTAAAACTGACAATTCCTAGTTCTATTAACCACATATTCTGCTAACTTACATGTCAAGCTACGCAACATTGTACATATTACCTGACAGACACATGTAGAGCAAGGTTTTGTTACATCTTGTACTTGATCACCATCATTGTATTGTCTACCATTAGTATAACAGCTTCTAGTAGGCCTCTCACATTCAGGACAACAGTCACCAAACACTGGTTGATCACATGTCACAGGTGGGCAGACAACAGGTGTGCATGTTATATTACCGTCTGCAAGTAATGAATAGTTGAAATAATTTGACTGAGTAATATTGTAAAAAATATATTAATTTAAAATTTTGGGGGCATTAAAATTCAGTTGAGGAGTCATTGGTTATCTGTTGAGGCTACCAGTGAAGGACCTCCCCCAGCCTCTTATGTGTTTTAAATGATTACTTTTTGTTTTTGGGAGTTGCACAGTAAAAGAATAGCATAGGGTCCCACACAAATTGCCTGTAAACAAAATTAGAGTTTCTATATAATATATAACAACATGATGAGCTTAAACATGACATAAAATATAGACTAGCTGGACATTCAAATGTCATCATAGTAACTAAGTCATGAAAAACTCTATAAAATTGTTACTTTTTAAAGTAAAAGCTGATAATGTAATGTAGCCAGGATTTTAAAGAAATCAATTTAACAAAACATTATCTAATAATTTTTTTTCTTAACAGTTATACACCAGGCGAGATCACAGTGGGCAGATAACCAAATCATGTGACTCAGCCGAGACATCTTTTTTTGTAAAATTGATCCGACTCCAGACCATTCTACTTGAAAGACCTTGCTTTAACACAATTTTGTAATGCACCTGTCAAGTGTAACCACAGCCCCTTTGACCCCAAAAAGCACCAGGCACTTCAACTTTCAAATACCTGGTAAAGGCCCAATCCTTTAGAAACATTTACACGTAGAATGTAAAATCCCCATCCAAAAGATTAAGAAAATACTCCTTGCCATTTTGCACCAAAATGCAGTTAAGGCAGAACTCCACATTATCCCCCCCCCCCTCCATTTCGCTAGGGTGGGAGGCCATGGTTACATTTGGCTGAACTTAAATATAAATACCTTGACAGGTACAGTCTTGGCAACCATGTTGGAATCTCTGTCTATTTTTATATTCCTTACTTTCATAGAAACAATCAGTGCATTCGCTACAACAAGAACCTCTGATTGGATGGGAACATGTAACATCTGCACACTGTCGTCTGCTGCAAGTCACTTTTCCTTTCTCACAGACACAATCTTGGCAGCCTTCCAAAATACTAGGAAATATTTCCCCATCGGTGTAATGTTTACTTAAATAGTAACAGTCAGTTCTGCAGGTGTTGGTACATTTAACACTTCCCACGCTGCAAAAGCAACGCTGACACGTGTCTGCTTCACTTTGAAAATAGGTCAAACTGTTATGAATCTTGCCTTCGTAGTCACATTGGTCACAGACAGGGCAGCAGTCATATCTGACTGGGTGGGTACATCGAGGTTCAGGACACACTTTCTTGTCACAAATAATATTACCCATCACGCATCGGCACTCTTCACAAGAGTTTAGCACACTTTGAATTTTTGCATCGTTTCTCACTATTTTGCCATAATAATTACAATCTTTACATTCAAGACAACAAGATCCTTGAACCGGACTGTTGCACGTAGGTTGGTCACATGATAACCGGTCACATGACGCGGTTCCGTTGTTGCATGTACACTGAATGCATTTATCATGAGGATCAAGAAATTGACTGCCATTTTCAATATTTAGTCCCTGAAAATAAACAGATAAATAATACATGTATATGAATGGTACTTAATAAATCTTGCAAAATCTTTTTTCATACACATGTTAACAACAAAAGTATATATCAAAATCTAAGTACAATTGTATTTGTACAAAAAGGAAGCAGAAAAACACTAGCATTGAAAAAAAGGGATATAACCCTTTTTTTTAAAAAACTATTAAGCAGTTTGATATTATTTCAAATTCTTAAATGTTTGTCTGGTTTTAACAGTGTTTTAGTCATATCTCAGTGGTTGGTCTACCCTAAAAACTAGCATTGCTGGATAACTAACCAAAATTAACCAGTTTCACCAAGTAAAGTGCAATTTCTAATCCAACATGAATCAGAGGCAAATGACCATTGGACTCAATTGTCAGTATCACGTTTTCTGATATTGCACAGATTATGGTCATGAAGTGGGCTGGAGAATGGTACAAAATAGCTTAAAGCTTTTATCACAAGCTAAAATAAATGTCATATTTAGGTGAAAATATGTAACTGAAATTCCTAAAATACACTAATTTTTAAAAAGCAATGAAAGTGATATTTGCTGCAAGATTAAAGATTCAAGATAAAAATTAGAAAAAACTGTCCTAATAGTAGATTAAGAATTTTAGATTTTATATTAAATAAACACAAAACTTTTTTGACCTTTAACCTGATAATGATCAGAAAGTGATTAATATCCCAAGTTATAAGCATAAAGTCAGAACTAGTAATCTCAGGAAAGCTGGCTGAATGGCTTCTTACCAAGTCAGAGGCAAGCCATTGTAAAATCCTTAAGTAATAAACTCTACAATCATTGCTGAATATTGATTGGCTCCAGGAATGGTACTGTTAGTAAGTTTATAGCTTCCTACACAACCCATATAAAATGAATTCTGTATAAACCAAGAGTCAGATCAGCCTACCAATGATCTATACTGTTTTAAGATATTTTTTTGCATTTTGCTATTGAAATTCCTTAAACATTAAATGGACTGTTTTAAATTCAAAACTGGACAAGTCCATTACACAGCAGCATTACTGCAGCATGTTAAAGGTTGTTATTAAAGGAACTACACACAGGTAAATATGGAAGTTGTATTTCATGCATAGATCTACTGGGGTACTTAAAACAGAAAGATAAACAAAACAATATATATTTTGTACATTGTACTCATAAAAATTGAAAATTATATTTCAGTCCTACCCTTAGCCCAAATTGAATGAAAAGCATTGCAACTCTTCAATTTTGGGTCAATTTTCATAATTTGAATAATTTTTCTGGAAAAACAGAGTGAGCAATGATCTAAAATTTTGCTTAAAAGTTTAGATCTACATCAAATAGAAAATTTATCTTGAAAAATAATTTTCAGTCCTGTTATGTCAACAACAAAAAAGTCAGTGGAGTCCCTTTAAGAAATAGCAACTTTTCTTACCTTATAATCACAGTCAGTACACCGCTGACAACATTGTCTTGTAACAGGATGACGACAAGTGACCGCCGGACACACCGGAGCATCTTGACATTGTACATCTCCGTTAATGCAACGGCACTGACCACATTCTTGACCACTTGAGAATGTCTCCCCGTTCTTGTACTGGACATTATTATATAGACAATCTGTGCATGATGGGCAACAGTCAACTAAAACTGGGTACCGGCACGATACCTGAATGAGAACTTGAGATATTTTATGGTTGTAATAAAAGTGCATTTTTTTTCAACATGTACCTGGTACTTAAAATACAAGTCCCAGCCTCTATATACTGTTATATTAAAAGGATCTTACACCAGCTGCCGGTATAGTCCGGAATATCTAGCTCGAGGGTAACTGTTCATGGTGGTAATGAGGCTCTGCCGAGTTTCTGCTAAACAGTTACCCTAAAACTTGAAATTCCGGTCTGTTATGATAGCCTGTGTAAGATTCTTTTACTTGCATATTAAATATTAATCATACTTCAGAAAGAAAGTACAAAAACTAATTTTTAAAACTTTTTTCTTACAGTAGTGTATGAATTTAGAACTTCATTCATTACAGCAAAATGACGTCATTCTAAGAATGCAATTTACTCATTAAAGTTGTGCGGGAATGATGTCTTTTAAAGAACGTGACTTGTGTTACACAAGTGGTTTAAGACAGGTTTTTGTTGCACCAGTGTATGCAGTAGATAACCCTGTCTGATATGCAAGAATACACAATCTCACCTGTCTGAATTTGTTATTTCATATAGACAAAAAAGTCATGAAATAAACATCTTCCAAAGGTAAGAACAAAATAATTAATCGCTTGAAAAACATAGTTATTGATATTTTAATTTAAAATATTACATTCTTTTGGATATTGCATTGCCTAAACAGAATTCCTCCATTTCTATTTTCTGATTTCTTTTTTCTTTTTGACAGGAGCGATCAGTGATCACATGTGTTGCCTCATGATGGCCAATTTCATGTTGGGACAAGTTTTGTGACAGACGGACAGACAGACGGACAGTGCACAACTACACTTGGTACTGATCATTCCTGTAAAGTTTGGATAAAATTGCACCAGTGGTATAAAAGAAGTAGTCCGGACAAACTTTAAAAATAAAAATTATTAAAGGGCAATAACTCTGACAAAAATCATTGAACCGGAAAATGCTGAGAATATGCACAACTAGACATGGTACTGATCATTCCTGTAAAGTTTGGATGAAATTGCACGAGTAGTTTATGAGGAGTAGTCCGGACAAGCTTTTGTGTATCTGGCAACACACAGAAAAAAACACCTTTTTATCAAAAGGCCATAACTCGGCCCAAAATCATTCAACCGGAAAACCCGTGCAATATGCGCAAGGGCTTGAGCTACTGATCAATCCTGTAAAGTTTCATTGAAATTGCATTAGTGGTATAAGAGAAGTAGTCTGGACAATCTTTAAAAATAAAAATTATTAAAGGGCCATAACTCTGACAAAAATCATTGAACCAAAAAATGCTGACAATTTGCACAACTAGACTTGGTACTGATCATTCCTGTAAAGTTTGGATGAAATTGCACCAGTAGTTTCTGAGGAGTAGTCCGGACAAGTTTTGTGACGGACGGACGGACGTTCTCACAGGACAGTAATTATGTGGCTACTCTATTGTTCTCTCTATTGTTCTTTTTAGCCACACAAAAGAAAATAGCCACATAAAAGCAGACAGACAGACGGAGGGACAGACAGACAGACGGACAGACAGAGAAGTGATCCCTATATGTCGCCACTACTCCGTAGAGGCGACACAAAAATGACACAACTTGCACAAATTTTTCTAGTAAGAAAGCTAGATTTTTGTGTGACAACTAGCGTATTAATAATTCTTCAATAAAGTATATGACGGTAAAACCGGGCCTGTTGTGTTCACTAAGATTTAATGATCAGGATCAACATCTCAAATATATTCCATTCTTTACCCTAATATATTAAATATCAACTTATAAATGTGGCAAATTATAAAATTACACTTATTGTTACTTTACAAGATACAGGCATTTTACATTGATCTTGATCCTAAAATTGATCCTTATTTTGATATGATTAATTTTGAATTTGTTTCGTTATTTGTCCTTTTTTATCCCCAAACAGGGCATTTGTTTCAGTGCAAATCAGCAATTTTTGTACCATTCAACTTTAAAGTCTTTCATATAATAGATTCAATTTTAGTTTCATAAAGCAATGAAAATAAAAACAGGATCATTTAATCCTGATTCAGATTTTTTCTGAGTGATTTGTGCAAGTTATCATCAAATAGTTAACATTGTTGTGCATATTTTCACTTATCACGATATACATGTAACATAACAGTTTCAATCAACTTGGCTAACTATAAAAATAAATACAATTAAATATTTTTTTTCAGTTATTTTTATATAATAACCAAGGGTTATTTTCCTGACAATGGTTGAATCTGGATGAGCATATTCGTGGAGGTATTGGTAGTTTTCACTCAGGATCACGGTAGTAAGTCACACTGAATTTACCAGAGCACAGTTCAGCCACCGTACATTCCTGGGCAGACTGTCAAGCAGTTTACCAGTACTAGTTGCCTTCACTTTCGGAAGGAACTGTTATTTCTGTATATGCCAGAGCAAAGGTACATTACAAATGACCGTAGAAAGGATTTCATGATTGACCTGCACCGTCTGGGAATCGAACCCGGGTTTCCCGATTCACAGTCCAAAGCTCTACCTATTCAGCTAACCGGATGGCTGAGCACATTCAGTCTCTAGGTAGATTATTTATTTGACCCCAAGGTCACTTGTTTTGCTCAAACAATAAAATATCTTGTAAACAATAAAACTTTTTTGTCTTTTTTCTTTATTTTGTATACAATAAAAAAACAATACAAAAGTACAAAAATGGAATAATAAAATATTGAGGTATAATCAATCACTGAACACAACTATTTTATTCAGTGAATAACTGATATTACAAAACTTAGCCAAATAAATATTGGCTAAGCGGTAACTGTTAAGGACTGGCTAAATGTAAATGGGACATATTGTGACAAAATATGTTTGGATAAATGTAAAACGGACATCCTCTGAAAAAACATGTTTGGTTGAACATAAATAGGCCATTCTCTGACAACATCTGCTTGGCTGAATGTAATTTTACCTTTCTCTGACAAAATTTGTTAAATAGGTAAGTTTCTGATAATAATCTGTTTGGCTAAAAGCCTAAATGTAAATGAGACATTTTCTGTTTGGTTGAATGCAAATGGGTCATTTTCTGACAAAATCTGTTTGTCTCTAAATGTAAATGAGACATTTTCTGACAAAATCTGTTTGGTTGAATGCAAATGGGTCATTTTCTGACAAAATTCGTTAGGTTGAATGTAAATGCATGTAAGTCAATTTCTAAGAAAATTTGTATGGCTAAATGTAAATGGGTCATTTTCTGACAAAATGTGTTTGGTTGAACTTTAAATATTTCATTCTCTGACAAAATCTGTTCGGCTAAATGTAAATGGGTCAATCACTGACATCTGTTTGGTTGAATGCAATTTTACCTTTCTCTCTAAAATTTGCTCAACTAAATGGGTAATATTCTGACAATAATCTGCTTGACTGTAAATGGGCCATATTCTGACAATGACTGTTTCAACATAAATAGCTATATACTCAAAGTATCATTTACTTAGAAAGTTCTTGCAGATGAAAAGAAGCTTTCAAGTTAAAACAATGCTATTATACTAAAATAATGACTTGTTTATCAGATTTGTTGCTCTTGTAGGTGCTCGAGTTTTTCTAGGTTTGTCATGGAATGGCCCACATTTTAATACTAAACTTCTATGTCTGCATACAAATCATTGTTCACATCAACATCATATACTGCTTAAAAAAACTGTAATGACCAGTAAATGGTAAGTTACTTCCCTTTGTTACAAGTACACCTTTTGCATGTAATGACATTTTGCTGTCTTATTTGAGAAATATACAAGAGATAATACCTTTTCTAGGTGATCTAGATGAACCTGTATAGAATATTAATGCAGGCGACAGATAACAATGTTAGCATGTGTTTTTAAACATGACAAAACAAACTTGTGAACAGTAAGTTTCTATCTACCATAAAACAATGATACAAATATTTTATCAAATCCTAGCAAATCAATGAAATGACTTTGATTTGGGTGATAATGCAGTAATACATTAATGTTACGTAAAAAGGCTCTGCTGTCAGGCAAAAAGATAATTCCGTTTCTGATCTCCAGAACTCCATCAAGCGGGTAGGAATTTCTTTTCTTATATATCTTTTTATACATGTATATATTGTAAAGAAAAGATTTTGAAAAAGCTAAAAGGCAAATAAAATGTCTAGGGCAGTTGAGGTAAGGAGACTTTGAGAAGCAGAACTATTTTTGGCTTATCATGGCAAACTTAACTGTTTTTGGCCTAATCATGACAAATTTACCTATTTTTTGCCTAATCATGGAAAACTTAACACAGACTCAATTATAGCATGATTTTCTTTGACTTTGAATTTTCTTGTACATGTATATGAAATTACATTAAATTTGTATATGATTCCTAAACTTTCATATAGAGGTGCCATAACTTAAATAGTTCACTGTAAATGAACACTTACTGAAAACGTAGAATTACAAATGTGAAATAATTAACAAACAAACTCATGAAATTTTATAAGAAAGATAACGCACAAGTTGTTCAGAAAAAATCAATAACTAATCAATTTTCATTGTGAGTATTAAACACTACATTTCTAGGGTTATATGTATCATTCTGTTAACAAATGAATCATACCTATGTGGTAAAATGATAGACTTAACAGGGTTTTGTGTGGGGTTTTCACAATTCAATGTCTAAAAATAAATACATCCTACTTAAATAGTTATAACTCACACTATAACATACAAAGTAATCCAAATGAATAAATGACACAAAAGAACACTTTACAACAATTATTTTGCAACTTCCACAAAGCGTTTACAAAAATTGCACCACTTTGTGGCATAATGTTAATCTCCCCTTTCAAAAAAAGGCCACTTCATTTTTATTTTTCAAAAGTTAAAATTCCGCCACTTTCCTCATTGTCAATTCATTCATCTCTCTTATTAAATGTTAACAACTGAACTATAAGCACAAAGATGCATTGTCCGACTACACTTTTAAGCTGACATAGAATTAGGCACAATGACATAACAAAATTCGTTAGACTGGCTCATAACAAAATTCGTTAGACTGTTTCATAACAAAGCTCGTTAAAACTGATTTTAGTTGTTCGCAGCTTAGGGTACCTTTGGACACAGCCTACTGTCACAAGCTACATTGCCTGCAATACACAGACAACGCTCGCATGGTTTACTCGGATTCTGGAAGTCTCTGCCATCTCGGTACAGTAATCCTTGGAACGTGCAATCTGAAAAACAGAACCAGTAATAAATCATGACATTAGTGTTGGGAGTTTATCCGCTGTACCACAACTGTACCACAGCAGTAAGCCACTTTGAACTCACCAGTTCAGCCACTGCATCGTTCCTGGGCAGGCTGTCAAGCAGAACCACTTGCCTTCACTTTCACAAGGAACTGAAAACTTCTGTACATGCCAAAGCAGAGGTACAGTACTGTATGACTCAAATAACTTTTTGTAATTTTAGTTCAATTAAAAGATATCGAATTAATCTACAATGCCTGGATTTTATTATCAAGCATTGTAACCTCAAGAACATTCAATTAACTCAATTTCCGTCCATAAGAATAAATTTTCTACAACTCAGGGTGGCAGAAATTTATAGCATCACTTATGCATCTTCTTGGGTAAAACATTTACCACAACCAGAAATATATTCATGTACACACATAAATAAAAGTCTATGATTACAAGTATGAATGCAGACTCTTATATAAGTCAAATAATGTTAACCCTTAACCTGCTGGAACTAAAAGTGATAAGCCTTTGCCGCTAGTAAAGAGCCAGGTCATCCTGTAATGTCATATTCAATATACTCTTGGCTGACTCACTTCAAATTTTCATCCTAATATCCCGAAAAATTAATAATGGACAGTTCCACAAATGGAAGCTTGTCAAGTCCATTTAAAAAATTCTGCAGGTTAAAGGTTTTTAACAAATGAGCCAAAAAAAAATTTATGTTGAAGAAGATTCCATACCTGAGCAGACTGGGCAACATTCTCCGGGTGGGTAGGTAGGACTACTGCAGTCTGGCATGGAGCATGCTCTTCTTGTGCACTCTACAGAGCCCGCCTTGCACACACAGTCCTCACATTTCTCATACGGACTTGGGAACATTTCTCCTAACTCAAAACGCATTCTGTTATATTCACAGTCTAAAAATATGGCATGAGATACATTTGTTACCAAAAATAGTAAATAACAACAGCAAGTATAATATTTCAAAACTAAACAGAGAATTTCTAATATTTGTTTACATGTTATTTAATGACCATGTGAGACAGACTGTGTGCTTGTAAATTTAATCCCTACAGTGCTTTAAAATGGTGTAATAGCTTTCATCATCTTTAAATTTGTGTAATTGCTTTCAGCACTTTTGAATTTGTGTAATAGCTTTCAATAGCTTTGAATTTGTGTAAAAGTTTCAACATCATTAAATTTGTGTAAAAGCTTTCAATAGCTTTGAATTTGTGTAATAACTTTCAAAACTATTGAAATTTGTAATAGCTTTCAATACCATTGAATTTAAGTGAAAACTTTCAACACATTTGAATTTGTGTAAAAGCTTTCAACACCTTTAAATTTGTGTAATAGCTTTCAACAGCTTTGAATTTGTGTAAAAGTTTCAACATCATTGAATTTGTGTAAAAGCTTTCAACAGCTTTGAATTTATGTAATAACTTTCAACACTATAAAATTTTGTAATAGCTGCCAATACCATTGAATTTAAGTAAAAACTTTCAACACATTTGAATCTGTGTAAAAGCTTTCAACACCTTTAAATTTGTGTAATAGCTTTCAACAGCTTTGAATTTGTGTAACAGTTTCAACAGCCTTGAATTTGTGTAATAGCTATCAACACCTTTAAATTTGTGTAAAAGCTTTCAACACCTTTGAATTTATGTAATAACTTTCAACACTATTGAATTTTGTAATAGCTTTCAATACCATTGAATTTAAGTAAAAACTTTCAACACATTTGAATTTGTGTAAAAGCTTTCAACACCTTTAAATTTGTGTAAGAGCTTTCAACAGCTTTGAATTTGTGTAAAAGTTTCAACAGCTTTGAATTTATGTTAAAGACTTTCACTTCTTTGAATTTGTGTAAAAGCTTTCACACAACTTTGATTTTTTTTTAACTTACAACACCCTGATTTTGTGTAAATTAATACACTTGCACTGCTTTATGTTTTTTGCTATTTTTACATTGGTTTCAAAGTTGATCTACTTATTCTAAATTAACAGAGCGGGTAACGCAATTAAATGTTGTGAATTAAAAGTAACATACATTCACAAGTGTTACAGCACTGGTCTCTTCCTGGATGTCTACAGTTGACAGCTGGACACTCCCTACGTCCACAATCAATGAGACCCTGGGAGCAGTGACACACCTCGCACTGATCCCGTGATGCTGGTACCTCCTGACTTTCCCGGTACTGGCGCCCGGCGTACACACAAGACTGAGCCGGACATATAGGACAGCATGTATCCTTGTCTAGGACGGGATCTATGCAGTTGGCACGAGGACAGGAAACAGCTTTTCTCTGACAAGTAACTGACCCATACTGTAAAATGTGTACAAAAAGAAATCTAAAAAAGGTACAAAAAATAATATTATGGTTAAGCGTTAAATGAAGTATCAATGGGCAACATTTGTTATACCATTTGGTAAGTAAAAATCGCTTTTTACAAAATAGGTGTAATTCATATAAGAGGAAGAAGGAGTTACATTTAAGTTACAACAGTTTTGATGTAAGTCTCCGGTTTGCCTGTTTGACAAAGCAGAGACACTATCAAAGATTCTGTACAGTCATAATATTATCTTGCAATATTTCACACAGGATAAGAACATTGTCATACCATGCCATATTTCACATAAGATACAACTATTCTCAAATCTTGAAATATTTCACACAAAACATAACCATTGTTACATACCTCCCAATATTTCACACAAGACATAACAGTTGTTACAACTTGCAATTATTAATAATTTCACACAAGATTTGCGCATTTTCACATCCAGCCCCCGCTGTGCTGACTTACCCTACATGAGCATTCCTCACATTGATCAGCTGGGTTGGTAAATGTCTGTCCGTTCCTGTACTGTACGTTGTTAATCTCGCACATCGTGCAAGACGGACAACAGTTCCCGGGTCTGTTGGCAGGATGAGTACATGTTACTGTCGGACATGACATCATGTTCATACACCGGATTCTCCCCATCTGTAATGATAAAATAAAAACCATTAAAATCAAAGGGCCGCAGGCTCTGTGGTATTTTTTTATCTTTGCAATCTAAATCGTCACTGTATATCTGAGAAATTTGTCTTTCCTCTGTTAAAGTTATATTTAGTATACTATAATCACTTAAAGACAGGCACGATATGCAGCGACTTCGTTTAGATTTATACAATAACAATGTTGAGTTTGATGTTGGGTTGCAATCACAAATCATTGTATTTCTCATTGTTTTGTGCAGCCAAACTTTTCCTTGCATATCATAGATATTCCTTAAATGCTTAAAAAAAAATAGAATTACCCATGCACACGGAAGTTATACGAAGAAAGCCTGAATAAAATGAAATAATTCTAAATTGAGAATTTCCATTTAGGGTTTGTAATCCTTATCAATTTCGAGGTATTTTGATGTAATACACTCTGATGTCTTCGGTAATCGACAGCATCCTCCTTTCGTGAAATTGATATCTTCCTTAAAACAAAACAAATGAAACCCATAACTTCCTGGAACCAAAAGAAATTAGACTTAGCCATCAGTATAGAGCCAGGCCAGCCTGTATTTCTGTGCAGTTCAACCAGGCTCTACACTGTTAGCTGATTAAGTTTGAATTTTCATCTTGATATCCCCAAAACTGATAATGGACAGTTCCAAAAACAGAAGCTGGGTTAGTCCATTTAAGAAATTATGTAAGTTAAGGGATATTGCCAAATTAATTTACCAACAACAGAAAAAGGCAAGTGACTCAAAATTGGCAACTGTAACCACTCAGCCAATTTTACCATTTACTTATAATTTTTTAAAACAAAAACACTCACCATGCAGGTACAGACTTTACATCTATCCATAAAGTCAATGAATGTTTGACCATCTCTATACTCTATACCCATCACATTACATCCCATGGGGCAAACTGGACAACACTGGACCCTTCACTAGCACGGCATTGTCACAGTTCACTGGTGGGCAACCCATATAACTGCACTGTACAGAGCCACCCTGTTGGTACAAAAAATCACATCACAAAAATCAGTGAAAATCTATGATATTTATGTAATTTTCAAAATAATCTAATTACAGAAGTGACACAGTTATGATAATAGATAATTAAGTTTTGTCTTCAAACTTTAAAAGTGGTCTGAATTTATTCAGTTTCATCTATAACTTATAAATTTTCATATCAATAATGATAGAAGTTATAGTTATTATAATATATTATAAAGTCAAGTCTTCAAACTTAAGAGACTGAATTTATTCATTTTCATCTATGATTTATTAATCTTCAAATAATCATACTGGTTAGAGACTTTAAGTGTAATTCTGTGACTGTGAAATTTCTGAGTAATCTTAATGTTGCTCCTGCTGGGCCTCATTTCTGGGTGGAAGGTTTTAAGAGGAACTATGCAAATAGTTCTTACCTTTAAAAATATTGCAAAATTTAGCGTATGATGAGACTGATTAAAAATATATTTTTATATAGAGAAAATGGAGTAAGCTGATACAAACTGCAAAAGATCGCAAATGAAGTATTCTTTTAAAGCTTCATATAATAATGAATGATGATATAATATGTACAGCAAAAATCAAGTGGGCCGACACCAGTTTTAAGTGTTTGTAGGGGCGGTCACTGGTAATTTAAGACAAGTTATAAACTGAACTCACCATACATCTACACACTTTACAATTATCACTTCCCGGTGGAACAAATTTCTGTCCATTCCTAAATCGTCGTCGTAGATAACTGCATCCATCACATGTAGGGCAGCACTGATTACGAGACCGGATCGGATGAGTACAGCGTGATATTGGACATTCACTTTCTCTAGAGTTACAACGTACCTCACCTCCCTTAATTATTTGTAATACATATTAATTATCAATTATATAAAAAGAAATATGAGCCGCATCATGACAAAACCAACATAATGGTAAAAGTTGTTTGCACCTGGGGACTAGCTTGGAAAAACCAAGTTTTGCTGAGTTCCCAGATTACAACTATTACCTATAGAATGACAAAGTATTTAGGAATGGCTCTTGCCCCTTTTATATCAAGGTAGAAATCCATGACAAAAAAAATAGTTTATTACATTATTATATGGCATAACAAATCCTTCATTAGAGTTTCCCCTAGATTGTGAATATTTCTTTAACTTTAAATATATTTTTCTCCAATTTAATCTTTATTAAACCTGTAAGATTCATTTTACTCATCTAGAAACATGCTGCCTTAATTTCATAGAAAAAACCAATTATCTAAGAAGATAAGAACAGCTTACACACAGTATAATTCTAAGCAGTAACACTCACTTGGCACACACAGTCTAGGCACGGTTCTAGTTTAGGCGTGAATCTCTGACCCTCCTCATACGAACGCCCATTGTAATCACATTGCTGACAAACTGGACAACACTCTCCGGGTAACTGTACTGGGGTACGACAACTTAACTGCGGACATGACACATACTCACAGCTTACCTCCCCTGAAATTAAAAATTATCCATGCTTAAAGGCCCATTATGCCCAAGAAATGTTTTTAATTTAATTTATCAAAAGCTTTTCATTTGTGGGGTCCTGTTATAGTTTCCAAAATATTTGTCATTGGCAAAGTAACATTTTTTGCTTCTGTTGCTTTTGTTACCTAATATTGTTATAGTTATTTGGTATTTTGTATTGAAGTCAAAATACTACTTTGTTTAAATTTGTTACTTTTATGGCCAATAATTTCACATTCTGTGCTTCTTTCATTTTATGATAAGCATCTAACATGCTCTAAAACCACTTTTTAAACATTTTAAAACTAATGTTTGCTCTTTCTAAAGGCATGAGCCCTTTAAAACTTTATTTTGAAAACTTTGCTGAACAATATCTATCTAAACAATATCTCTGTATAGAAACAACAATTAAACTTTCAAATGGTACATTACAATCACAAAACAATAAAAGAAACACACATAAATTAACATACATGCACATATATAAAGCAATTAAACATGTCCAAAGCATTTTTTCAATACTACATGATTCATATTAAATACATTTAGTCTGTAAACAAGTTTTGAGCTGGACAAGCCATTATTTCTGCTCAATCTTACAAAGCTCTATACAACTAGTAATTCTTAATATGAGCCGTGTCATGACAAAACCAACATAGTGGGTTTGCCACCAGCATGGATCCAGTCTGATCAGGATCAATGCTGTTTGCTATCAGTTTCTCTACTTGTAATACGGTTTGTAAGCGAACAGCATGGATCCTGATCAGACTGTGCGGATGCGCAGGCTGGTCTGGATCCATGCTGGTCGCAAACGCACTATGTTGGTTTTGTCATGACGCGGCTCATATTAGCTTTTAAAATATAACTATTAAAATATTGAGCCTGACTTCCCTGAAGTAAGTTCCAAATTTAAAGTTGGACAAGTTCATTGTACTTTTTTTGGAAATGATAATGATAAAAATGTTGAATCTGTTATGTGACTTTCTCATTCAAATTAATACATGTATAGAAATGAGTTGGCTTTTTTTTATTTCAATGTCTATAATTTGAGGGCTTGTTGTGAAATGGTTGTAATTCATATGACATAAAGGCAATACAACCATTTTGCTCAAACCCATTGATAAAAGCTGTACTACCTTCTCTACAGTGACAAGTAGAACAATCATCAGAGTACACAACATCGCCATGTTTATATGTCCGACCTTCGTACTCACATACTGAAATCAGAAATCACATATCATATCACCAAATATTAGCCAAAGAGATGAGTTTTGGGTTGGAAAGAACATGAAGGTCACTGTATGAGACCAAGACATACAGTAACATGTAAAAACAATGAAAAGCACTTATAATGAAAAAGGGAAATATGCAGTTCAAAGTCACATATTTTACACAGAATGACAGGTGATATTCCTGAAGACTTTCTACACAGTAGTATCTCAAAGCTCATACTCCTTAAATATGAAACCACAAATCACTGTATTTGGCAAGATCTCGTAAGTTAAACCCTTAACCTGATGGAAACGAACTAATTAGCCTTTGCCACAAATATAAAACTAGGCCAGTCTGTACATAGAGAGACCCAGGCTAACAGCACAGGTCACTTTCATTGTGATTGATCATGAAATCCTTTCTTCAGTCATTCACACTTTACCTCTGCTCTGGCATGTACAGAAGTTATCAGTTCCTTGAAAAGTGAAGGTAACTGCTTGACAGGCTGCCCAGGAACGGTGGTGGCTGAACTGTGCTTTGGTTAATTCAATGTGGCTAACTGCGGTGACCCAGAGGATAAACTACCAACACAGCAACCATCCTTGCAGTCTGACCGGGCTCTTTATTGCTGGTAGCTCAATTCTTGCACTTTAACTTATATTGGAATATTTCAAACTTTGAAAGGACTGGCTTATTTTCAAAGCTGAGCAAATCCATTCCACAAATTCAGCAGGTAAAGGGATAAAAAACCCAAATAATGGTCTGTAAAAATTGGTTTACCTTTACATTGTGGGCAACAAGCACCTGGGGGTGTTTCTGTAACTCTACATGGTAGCCTTGGACATGGTCCCAATGATTGACAGGTCACCTGACCTCTTGAGCAGGTGCACTGTTGACAATTATCCCCTGGACGGACGAAAACTTGTGAGTCTCTCACGATTTGACCAAGGAAATTACAATCTGAAAATCAAAGTTGACATGTTGAATGTCGCTGTTACTTATGTAAATGTTCTGGTCTGTTATAGCAATCAGTGTAAGATTCTTATATAATAGTAAATGAAATATAAGGTAAAGATAAATAGTGTCACCCCTTATTAGACACCTTTTGCTTGCATACCATGTACCTCCCAACTCCTACCATTATGCCAGGCGCCAGGCAGATAGAAATCAGTAACCATTCATTTTAACAACCACGTGGCTCACAAAGCGGCCAATTTGGAACGAGTCCCGCGAGAAACATTCATCCTTCAATTAACGCTCCCCGTGGGGCTCGAACCTTCAACCTTCATATCCAACGCAGACGCCTTAACCACTAGGCAAACGGTACTGCTTTGAAAAATGTAAGTTTACCTCATAAATATAACTAGAAATGTGTCATCATGCCACGGATGCCCCCGCATGCAGCCGAAATTTCAAATGTTATGATATTTAGTTCCAAATTTGTTTGCACAAATTATTGTTTTCATTTTAAGTTCAAAGCCCTTAAAACTTTTCAATGTTAACACAAACCATTTTTATACAATGTTCAAGGCACTGAAATTATTCAGTCTTAAACATTTTTATACAATGTTCAAGGCACTGAAAATATTCAGTTTTAACCTTTTAAAAATAGCATATTGCATATTTGTAGCCAACATAATGGCTATATACATTTCCACAAAAGTATGAGTGCTGAAACTGAAAGTTCAAAATTTTTCCAACATTCAGGAAAGATAAGTTTGTCTAAAATCATTGAACCACGACCAAATTCAAACTTAAACTGCTTATTCCTAAGATGTATCTATATTATTTTCAAAGTGAAAGGGACATAACTCTGCCAAAAAATCATCGAACCATGACCAAATTCCAACTTGACCTGCGCATTCCTTTGACATATCCATATGTCAATTTTGAGTTGAATATGTAACACTGTTGGGTTGATAATGAACAGAAACTGTAAATTTCATATTATTTTCAAAGTGAAAGGGGCATAACTCTGCCAAAAATCATCGAACCATGACCAAATTTGAAATTGACCTGCGAATTCCTTTGACGTATCAATATGTCAAATTTGAGTTGAATGTTTAATACTGTTTGGGGAGATAATAAACAGAAACTGAAAATTTTCATATTATTTTCAAAGTAAAAGGGGCATAACTCTGCCAAAAATCATCGAACCATGACCAAATTTGAACTTGGCCTGCGCATTCCTTTGACGTATCGATATGTCAAGTTTGAGCTAAATGTGTTGTACGATTGGGGAGATAATGAACGGAAACTGAAAATTTCATATTATTTTCAAAGTAAAAGGGGCATAACTCTGCCAAATCATTGAACCATGACCAAATTTGAACTTGACCTGCGCATTCCTTTGACGTATCCATATGTCAAGTTTGAGTTGAATGTGTTGTACCATTAGGGAGTTAATGAATGGAAACTGAAAATTTCATATTATTTTCAAAGTAAAAGGGCATAACTCTGCCAAAAATCATCGAACCATGACCAAATTTGAACTTGACCTGTATTTTCTCATGACATATCAATATGTCAAGTTTGAGTTGGATGTGTTGTACCGTTGGGGAGATAATGAACGGAAACTGAAAATATCATATTATTTTCAAAGTAAAAGGGGCATAACTCTGCCAAAAATCATCGAACCATGACCAATTTCGAACTTGACCTGTATTTTCTCATGACATATCCATATGTCAATTTTGAATTGAATGTTTTGAACCGTTTGGGAGATAATGAATGGAAACTGAAAATTTCATATTATTTTCAATGTAAAAGGGGCATAACTCTGCCAAAAATCATCGAACCATGACCAATTTCAAACTTGACCTTTATTTTCTCATGACATATCCATATGTCAAATTTGAGTTCAATATGTGCAAGGGTTATTAAGATAATGAACGGAAACTGATGATGACGGAAGGACGGAATGACGGAATGACGGAACAGGGTAACACTATATGCCCCTGCCATTATATGGCGGGGGCATAAAAAGAATATGAATGTATTCATGTGATACATGTGTAGCTTTGATAAAACTATGAACTAATGATATAGAAGCACTTATTTTCATCAGCTGATGCATGATTTAAAAACAAATAAACATCCAAAGGTTAAGCATGACTTAAAGGTTTAAGTCCTTGTCTCTCAAGCATGGCACCAAGGGTTTGAGCCCTACTCTCTTCATGACCATTTTATCTTGTAAAAAAAACCAGATCTTGTAAGTTTCAGGCAATGAACCAAATTAATGTAAGTTAAAAGAACTTGTTTCTTAACTGAGCATAAATAATATGCTTAAGCATAAAATATGACTATTTGTGATATACATGTAGTAAATATTCTTTTAAGAATTTCTTGTACATATAAGTTCATTCACAACCAACATTCACATACCTGTGCACTGAGAGCAACATTCGCCGGGCCTGGTCACGCCATGATCACACTCTTGAGGACATCTCTGTATCCTTGAACAGGAACTAATGCCCTCTTCACACACACATTTCTCACATGGGTCTATCAAAGATGTCCATCTCTCCCCATTTTCATACTCTCTACCTTCTGCTAGACAAGCTTTAACACAGGGGTCAATAGAGATAATTAGCATGTAGGAAACAAATGGGACATGAATATAATAAGTAACAACTTTTTTTAATGTGGCAACACAGTTGGGCAAGCTCAGTCTTCCCTGTGAGCCTCAACAATGTACAAAACAATTTATACAACACAATACATCAATAAGAGATCAAATAATAACACAAGTTAATTACATAATTATACATTCAACATTGAAATACATGAGCTCAACCTTGAAAAAAGAGGAATCATGGGAAATACAATATCCGACAAAAATATTGAAGAAAACCATAGCTGTTACTGAATCTATATATTAACTCGTAGAATTGAAAAACTGAATAAATTGTAACCACAGTCTTCATTATGAATTATCACTTACATTATATAGGCAACAGGAAAATAAGTTTATATTTTGCTCACAAATTTCTTTGCTAAACTCTATAGTACCGTAAATCAGGTTATTTTCGTGTACAGTAAATTTCACAATTTTGGCAGTAATTGTATTGTAGCAAATTTGTTGTAAATGTTTCTTTTTCCATGTTTTTTTACTGACAAAGAGAAACCAATCGTTTTGTCAGAGATTGATTATTTTCACAGGTATAACTTCATTTTCAATTTTCCTATTAATGTATCACTTATAAGTATGTATCAGGTTTTTCACACTTATTGTCAGGTCTTAACTTTTGTAAACATTTTAGTGTTAATAATGGTTAATAATAGTGTTATAATACTCCTGTTTGCCCTTTATAAAGTACTTAAAATTCAATCATTTCAGAGGCACAATGTGCCTTTAAATATTCACTGATACACATACTTTTCCAGTAATGCAAGCTTTTTATGTCCTCTCCAAAAAAAGTTAGAAATTAACAAGGCTCTCTACTGTTGGTAGTACAATTTTTGTAATTGTATGAAATCTTTTAATTAAGACTGTTCCAAATTCAAAGCAAAACAAATTTATTCTGCAGATTAAGTGAGAGCATATTCAAACATGTTTCTATTATATGATACTTACTGGGACATTTTGAGGGGCAGCAGTCTCCAGGTAGGGTTATAGGTCTCCTACACGGCAAATCCATTCGTGGACAGGTAACGGGTGAACACCTTACGATGGTGTTGTCACATGTACAGTTGATACACCTGTCCTCGGGGGACCTGAATGACAAACCATGCCGGTATTGTCTACCATCATATGTACAGTCTGAAAGAAAAAGATAAATATTTAACAAAGTTATTTTGTAATTATATAACAGAAAGCTATTTCTTGCATATCAGACTGGTGTTTCCATTAGTTTTAGCCATGCTGGAAATTTCATCTGGCATGGGGTTGCCAGATGAGTCGCATGCTATAAATGGCATGCTTAGGATTAGGATAACGTAATTTCGCTGTTGAAACAAGCTTATCATGTGACCTACCATTATCACATCTTGGACAGCATTCTCCCTTTGGTGTAATCGCAGTCAGACACGGTGCTTGAGGACATGGGAGTGGATCACACACAACGTTACCATTACTACACACACATTCTGTACACTCATCTGGCATATAACTTTCTCCGTCTCTCAAGTCGCGACCAGCCACTGTACAACCTGGCAAAAATAAATTTGGAATGAAAAAGGTGAAACCTTGAAGAGAGAGAAAAACTATTTTCCTATCAATTTTCGGTTTGATTTTAGGAAAAACATAAAAAAAAACAGTACCTTAAGTAGCTTACTCTGAATCAAGTCTACAATAATTACTTTAAATGATAGATAAGGACAAAAAAAACTTTCATAAAGTAAAATATTCTTTTTTTGCAGGTCAATTACATTTAATGTTTTTGATGTGTAAAATTATCAGTAATATATCATGTACCGGGTATAGAGAAAAATAAAAATAAATGAAAAATTAATAGAAAGATAAATATACATTATATTAAAAAAGATAATTTATAAACAAAAATGAGCCGCGTCATGACAAAACCAACATAGTGGGTTTGCGACCAGCATGGATCCAGACCAGCCTGGGCATCCGCGCAGTCTGATCAGGATCCATGCTGTTCGCTATCAGTTTCTCTACTTGTAGTTGGGTTTGTTAGCGAACAGCATGGATCCTGATCAGACTGCACAGATGCGCAGGCTTGTCTGGATCCATGCTGGTCACAAACCCATTATGTTGGTTTTGTCATGACACGGCTCAAATTTACCGTCACAGGAAGGACAGCATTCTCCTGGAAATTTCCGAGGGTGGCTACAGTCAGGGGGGATACAGAAAATCCTGTCACACTCGACACGTCCATCCTATAACACAATGCTGTATCATGTAACACTGATTGTTGCATATGAGCACAAATTCAAGAGAAATTATGTCACATTTGTGCAGTTATGAGTTAAGTCCTTCTAAATCTAATAGGAGTTAGCCAGATATTGCACTAAGGTAAAGATTATGCCCATCCAAAAGTGAACTGGTGAAAGTGAAATTAAGTAATATTTAGTCATAATTCCCGAAATTTTTTATTATTTACTTGGTATGAATGATAGATAAATAACTAACGTGGCCCAAGGAAATTTCAGTAAATGTCTATCAAATTTACCCGTAACGTTTAATTCATAAAAAGTGTGGGGCAGTCTTTTTATATTTTGATAAGGTAATTTTATTTTTTATCCTAAACATTTTCCAGTATCAACTGTTGGACAATCACCATTATAACATACAATCTTTTACATATTTTTTTGTTGTTGTTGTAATAGTAAGCATCTTTATCACATTCCCATGCCGCTTGTGTTATTTTGTAAACTAGAAATGTGTCCATAGGACACGGGTGCCCCCACCTCGCCACTGTTCTGTTAATCTTATGACTCTAGGTCAAATATTTTTTGAAAACTAAAAATCTTTTACTAAGTAAAAGGCAAGAACTTTACAAATACTGAATAAATCCACAACCCCAAGGTGCATAAGTACACATGCTGACCAACATTCTTGTAAACTTTCAGGCCTACAAGTGAAATACTTTTTGAGCTATGCATGAACAAGTTGAAAATTGCAAATTTATACCACTGTAAGACAATGGCAATAACTCTAACAAAACTGAAAAATAATCCACATGCAAAGTCCCAGGTGCATAGCTTCACAGTGATGTGAATCATTATTCCTGTAATTTAGTGATGTTGATCATTATTCCTGTAAAGTTAGTTGATTCTAACTCAAGCACTCGAGGAACAAATAACAACATAATGAAACGGTTTTTACTAAGTCAAGGGAAATTACTCTACAATACTGGATAAATCCACAAGCGAAACCCCAGGTGCAAAACTAAATATGCTGAGCAAAATTCCCGTAAGGTTTAATGACTCTATGTCAAATCCTTTTTGAGTTACATGTGACACAAGTTGAAAATTGCAAAAAAATTCTAAGTCAAGGGCAATAACTCTAAAAATACTAAAAATATCCAGATATAAATACCCAGGTGCACAACTACACATGCTGATCAACATTCCTGTAAAGTTTCATGACTCTAGGTCAAACACTTTTTGAGTTACATGCGACACAAGTTTAAAATTGCAAAATTTTACTAAGTCAAGGGCAATAACTCTAAAAATACAAAAAATATACAGATGAAAATACCCAGGTGCACAACTACACATGCAGATCAACATTCCTGTAAAGTTTCATGACTCTAGGTCAAATACTTTTTGAGTTACATGCGACACAAGTTGAAAATTGCAAAAATTTTACTAAGTCAAGGGCAATAACTCTAAAAATACTAAAAATATCCAGACGAAAATACCCAGGTGCACAACTTCACATGCTGATTAACATTCCTGTAAAGTTTCATGACTGTGTCAAATTATTTTTGAGTTACATGTGACACAAGTTAAAGTTGTGAATTTTTACTGTCAAGGGCAATAACTCTAAAAATACTAAATATATCCAGATGAAAATACCCAGTTGCACAACTACACATGCTGATGAACATTTCTACTCGAAGTGCAATACTTTTTGAGCTACATGCAACACAAGTTGAAAATTGCAAATTTTAACTAAGTCAAGGGCATTAACTCTTAAAATACTAAATATATCCAAATGAAAATACCCCGGTGCACAACTACACATGCTGATCAACATTCCTGTAAAGTTTCATGACTCTAGGTCAAATACTTTTTGAGTTACATGCGACACAAGTTGAAAATTGCAAAATTTTACTAAGTCAAGGGCAATAACTCTAAAAATACTAAAAATATCCAGACGAAAATACCCAGGTGCACAACTACACATGCTGATTAACATTCCTGTAAAGTTTCATGACTCTAGGTCAAATACTTTTTGAGTTACATGTGACACAAGTTGAAAATTGCAAAATTTTACTAAGTCAAGGGCAATACTAAAAATATCCAGACGAAAATACCCAGGTGCACAACTACACATGCTGATCAACATTCCTGTAAAGTTTCATGACTCTAGGTCAAATACTTTTTGAGTTACGTGCGACACAAAAGAGAACGGACGGACCGAAGGACGGACGGACAGACGGACAAGGGTAAATCTAAATGCCTGCCACTAAAGTGGGGGCACAAAAACGCATGGCCGTGCATATATTTTGACATGGTGTCATTTGTGTTATATCAGTGCATCAATGAAAAGTGATTCTTTTTCACTGCAAACAGTCTTATTTTGGATATCTAATACGAAAATGATGAATAGAGGATACTAAATGAGTCCAGGTTCATTACAGAATTTATTGAACATTTTTAATAAAATAATATCATGCTTAATAATATTACACTTTAGAGAGGCTCACATAATAAAATTTTACCCAACAAATGCTATTAATTCGGTAATGAACTTACTCTCATTCAATATCCTCTATTTATCATTTTGTATATGTATGTAAATACATACATGTGTACTGCTACATATAAAACAAGAACCCGGTTTGAGCCGGGTGATGCTCCCCGAATAGGTTTTGGACACAGGAAAGTACACCTCTTGTAGTTTCAGAGTTATGTCCCTGGAAAAGGTTCAAAGTGCAATGATTCCAAAATTAGGCAAGGCAGAGTTACTGTTCTTTGCACTGCACTTGTAATCAATGCCATCTATCAACCTAAAAAGTTTCTTGTTGATACCTCTTATGGTTTCTGAGTTATGACCGGGACAAAGTTCAAAATATAAAAATGAACAAAGTGCAATAACTACAAAATTTGGCAAGGCGGAGTTCAAGTACTTAAGCACTGCACATCTACCCATTGAGATCTGTCTACCTACAAAGTTTCAGGTTGATATATTTTATAGTTTTAGAGTTATGTCCCGGACAAGATTTTTCTTAAAGGGGAGATAATTCAAAAACTGGGCAAAATAGAGTTATGGTTCTTTGACACTGCACTCCCCCTCAATGAGATCTATCTACCTACAATGTTTCATGTTGATATCTCTTGATATCTCTTAAAGTTCAAAGTGTTAAAATTAACAAAGGGCAATAACTCCAAAATTAGGCAAAAAAGAGTTATGGTTCTTGTGCACTGCACATCAACCCATAGAGATCTATTTACCTACAAAGTTTCATGTTGATATCTCTTATTGTTTTAGAGTTATTGTCCCGGACAAGATTTTTCTAAAAGGGGAGATAATTTAAAAACTGGGCAAAATAGAGTTATGGTTCTTTGACACTGCACTCCCCCTCAATGAGCTCTATCTACATACAATGTTTCATGTTGATATCTCTTACAGTTTTTGAGTTATGTTCCGGACAAAGTTCACACTGTTAAAATTAACAAAGGGCAATAACTCCAAAATTAGGCAAAAAAGAGTTATGGTTCTTGTGCACTGCACATCTACCCATTGAGGTCTATTTAACTACAAAGTTTCATGTTGATATCTCTTATAGTTTTAGAGTTATGTCCCAGACAAGATTTTTCTAAAAGGGGAGATAATTCAAAAACCGGGAAAAATAGAGTTATGGTTCTTTGACACTGCACTCCCCCTCAATGCCATCTACCACTGTATGAAGTTTAAACAAATTATCTCCAAGGGTTTTCAATTTATGCTCCGGACAAGACAACGGACGGACAGACGGACAAGGCGCCGACTATATGCTCCCCCGAAATTTTTCGGGGAGCATAAAAATTATATCCTTAATTTCATTAAGTTTCTTAACAAGAAATGTAGATGAGTAAGTTATTATGGAAATTTACCACACAAGTGCAACTTTGACATGGACTTTCCTTCCATGTGTCGCCATTATCCCTGTTACCACAATCTAAACACGTGGGACAACATTCGCCATCAAACGTCTGCTGCGACGAGCATGAACCAAGGTCTGGGCAGTTGACGTAACTGCAGTCAATGTTACCATTGCTACAGAAACATTTATTACATTTGTTATCCGCTGGCGTAAACTCTTGACCATTCCTTATACGAACACCGTCATACTCGCAGTCTTAGAAAATAACATTACATCAACAGTTAATACAAGTTTTTTAAATATTTAATTTATTTTATTATATATGTTTCTTCAAAAATTAAATCATGCAAAATAAGTGAAACACATTTGACCTGATAAATAAAATAAATGAAGGTTTTATCAAATAATCATTTAAACAAGCAATCCTTGTGGAAATATGACGCATTTAAAAATTTTTTGCAAATACAGCGACACAAAAGTTGGCCTTAACAAATGAAATAGTCTTATCAGCAAACTGTTTTTGATTTGTAATTCTGTTTTTATATTTCTTTTAAAATTGCTGAATTAGCTTGATTTTGAAATACCTGAAAGTTGTGCAACAACGAGAACATGTTATATTATAAGAATCTTACACCATCTGCTGGTACAGACCAGAAAATCTAGCTCGAGGGTAGCTGTTTACGGCAGTAACAAGGCTCTTCCGAGTTTCTGCTAAACAGTTACCCAAGAGCTAGATTTTCTGGTCTGTTACGACAGCCGGTGTTTGATTCTTTTACTTGCATATAACATACTAATCATATTTCGGAAAGAAATATGAAAACTAATATTTTTTAGCAATTGTTTTATAGAAGCTTATGAATTATAACCAATACATTAATGGTATCAAAATGAAGTCTTTCTAAGAACGCAATTCATTCATTAAAACTGTTTGTGGATTAATGTTTTTAGATATGTAAAACAATGGCTATTTCATTGTCTTATTACTAAAACAAAGTATATATATATTTACCAGCACATTGTAGACAGCACTGGCCGGGTATTTTTACAGGATGTGTACACAATATTGGTTCACATGTCTCCTCTATACAGGTCACTAAACCATCCTGAATATAGAAAAAGTGAAGATATAAGGCCTACTTCTTGTTTGTTTGTTTCATTTAACGCCTTTTCCCAACAGTATTTCAGTCATATAGGCGGGTTGTTTCCTAACCATCGTTCCTGGAGAGTTACACCAGTACTAGACTACCTTCCTCCGCGCTAAACTACCATAGCCTCTCCTGGGGATCGAACCCACGCCAAAGAGGTTACTGGATTAGAAGTCATCGACTCTAACCCCTCGACCACGGAGGCGGTTCAGGCCTACTTCTGCATACAAGACAATGGCAAGGGTACACTTTAAGAACCAAAACCACAAGACAAGTATATAGAGGATATTTGTTTGTTTTGCATGTAAGATTGAAATATAATTTCACTGAGTGAACACCAGATGCAATATTTTCATGAGTGGTGTAGCCACGAGTGAAAATATAATAGCTGGTGTTCACGAATGAAATACATTTCAATCTTATATGTAAAACAAATAAATTTTCTTTTTATTTTATGCTTTCAAGTGATTTTAAGTATTTTTTACTGATTTTGCCGCATAACGTCACGCATTCTCCTTTGTGACGTCATCACATCATGATGTCACATCATCAATTTTGAATATAGGTCTGTTAAATTTCTCTAATTTTGTTACATTTTTAACATGATGTATGATGACATCGACTTTCTTTTCCTAAAGAAACAAGATTTACGCATTTATTTCTGCCTGTTATTCCATTTAGTTATGATTTTCTTTTCATCCGCATTAAGATATAGTCCAGCTACAGTGAAAATTATATTTTATACATTTCACTAGTGGTTTATCAGTATGTAATTATCTGATATATTACAATAAAACACTGGAAAGCATGAAATAAACTAATTTTTCATTGTGTTTTATGAAGAGTTTTAAATAATAAAATTATATCTGTATACATTGTATTAACTATTTTGTTCCTTTATTGGCTTTTACATCGCACCACCACAGTGTAATCAAAATGGGAACTTTCCAGCTTTACAGGTGGAGGAAGACCTCAGGTCTTCCGAGCATTGTTTCAGGCATAAACAGGCATCTGAGTAGAACCATCAATGCTCCATAAGCTAGCTGGATAGTTTCCTCACGTGAAAGAATCTAAAGTCCCTGTCAGGATTTAAACCCACAGCAGTGAGGGGCAAGTGGTTTGAGGTCAATGACCTTAACCACTCGATCACACAGCCTTACCATAATACATTTGGTTGGCCATTAGATTAAAACTAGACCATAACACATAATATTACTTTAGTGCAGTAACGAAATAAGTTCTATTAAATTTAATAGGAGTTAATCAGTTATTGCACTAAGGTGGCCAATTAAGTGCATAAAGAATTGTAAGTAAGATTACCTCACAGGAGCATGTTTCACAGTCGGAGGTGGACCAGGATGTACCGTCCCCTCTTTCTATATCATATCTGTCTATACATCCCGAGCATTGTAAAACATTACCAGATATACCATGATACCATTCATACTGGCATCCCCCACAATTGTTCACCCTACATAAAGCATCTGGATAACCTAAAATACATTTAAATACAAAGTATATTGCTGATAAAATATTAAGATATTATACAATAATGTGTCAATCAAATTTTGTGTGTAACAACCACAGTTTATTTAAAAATTATATCTAGTCGAATTAAGTCACTTGACTTCTGAAAGAAGAAACCAAGGAAAATAACTGGTAGAAGGAGCAGTCAAGAAAGATACCTCAAGGAATGAGCCAAGAAAGCTGACTGATGGATTGAGCCAAGAAAGTTGACTTGTGGCAAAAGCCAAGAAATGTGACTGAAGGAATAAGCCAAGAAATGTAACTGAAGGAATAAGCCAAGAAAGTTGACTGAAGGAATAAGCCAAGAAAGTTGACTGAAGGAATAAGCCAAGAAAGTTGACTTAAGGAATAAGCCAAGAAATGTGACTGAAGGAATAAGCCAAGAAAGTTGACTGAAGGAATAAGCCAAGAAAGTTGACTGAAGGAATAAGCCAAGAAAGTTGACTGAAGGAATAAGCCAAGAAAGTTGACTGAAGGAATAAGCCAAGAAAGTTGACTGAAGGAATAAGCCAAGAAAGTTGACTTAAGGCATAAGCCAAGAAAGTTGACTGAAGGAATAAGCCAAGAAAATTGACAGAAGGAATAAGCCTATAAGTTGACTAAAGGAATAAGCCAAGAAAGTTGACTGAAGGAATAAGCCAAGAAAGTTGACTGAAGGAAAAAGCCAAGAAAATTGACAGAAGGAATAAGCCTATAAGTTGACTAAAGGAATAAGCCAAGAAAGTTGACTTAAGGAATAAGCCAAGAAAGTTGACTGAAGGAATAAGTCAAGAAAGTTGACTGAAGGACTAAGCCAAGAAATTGACTGACAAAATAAGCCAAGAAATCTAACTGAAGAAATAAGGCAAGAAAGTTGACTTAAGGAATAAGCCAAGAAAGTTGACTGAAGGAATAAGCCCAGAAAGTTGACTGAAGAAATAAGGCAAGAAAGTTGACTTAAGGAATAAGCCAAGAAAGTTGACTGAAGGAATAAGCCCAGAAAGTTGACTTAAGTTGACTTAAGGAATAAGTCAAGAATCTTAACTGGTGAAAATAATCCCAGTATCCTTCATTTTAAACATAATCCAGTTGACATGTAAAAATTTCATACCTGGACACTTCCTGTCATAACAAAGATTCTCACTGCATTCCACTGGTGCCTGTCCAAATGGACATGCTGTGTAGTAGTATGTATAAAAACACAAACTGAAATAATATAGAACATATGTACATTATCAAATCTACAAAGTTAAAGTTAAGTTGAAATAATGAATTTTTCAAGTTGGTAAAAAAAACTTATAAGAAATTTTCAAAGCATGAAAAACACTGGTATTTTCAAAGTATATGTATGAAAAACAAGGGTCAATTTAAAAATGAAATATATTCTGATCAGCTATAATAAAAGCTTCAGGTTCTAAAGGTAAAGTTTGATAATGTTTAAAAATAAAACCTTTTGTCAGGACCAACTGGCAACCAGATATTATCATCGGTGATACTACTGGTGCGTATTTCTGGTCTCGAACTTGTGACCCTCTCCTGGGCCCTGCCCACAATACCCTCCAGAAGTGGCACCTGCGACCCCCTCTGTAGCCAATTCACTGTATATCTGTAATAATGCAAATATATTCCAAAAAAAAAGCATTTTATTTCATGTGAACTAGATTGTGGTAATTTGAGCTATCACATTACTTGTATCATAGTATATGAATATGTTTCAGTTAAATCATAAACTCTTAAATGTACAGTGCATTAACTTGAGTGCAGGTATTAGTTACCTACACCTCATTGTCTGTTGAGGATAAAAATAGAGCATGCTCGTTGATTGGCTATATTTATTCTGGGGTTACCTATTATGACGACAGGGAAATGGATGATGACAGAAAATTTGGTGATGAAGTGCAGACAAAATTACCACATAGACAAGATATTTAGATGCTCATGCATTGGTTTATTTTTTGGGAGGTTTCATATTGTGACAACAGGGAAAGAATTTTTATTTGTGCCTTTGAAGAGAAAGAGCATTAAAACTCTTGGCAATCTGACTAATACTTGGGGGCTATGCCTCCAACATACAAATCAGATAGCCTTGTGATTTGATGCTCTTTCTATTACTTACTCAGTTATATGTGCTTTATTAAACAGGCAACATTATTTTACACGTTAAAACTGACGACCTAAGAAAAATTTTATTGAAAGATGTCCAATTTTAATTTGAAATAATAACAAGATTACTTTATCAACGTAACAACCATACAGCACTTTTAATGACTAATAAGTCAATAAAAATCTAGAATATAGGAAGATTTATAAAACTTTTACATTTTTACTGTTGCGTTTTAATTCTTTATACTTACATCCATTCAGGAAGGTTATTCAGTGCAGGACATATTCTGGTTATAATCCGAATGGCCTTATCATCAACAGCATCAACTTGTATCTCAGCCCATCGTTTTACTATCACCAACATCGGCCCAAGGAAGTAACGATTACATCTTCGCTGGTCGTACCCAAATGTGTCAAATCCAAACATATCAAAACCTTTTCGGTCCAAGCCATATCTATCAAAGCCATATTTGTTATAACCATATGCATCAAACGTGTCCGGAAAGGTATTGACTAGGGAAGTCACATTTCTACTGAAACCAAAAGGCGTTGTACCAGACTGATCAAACCCGTAACGATCATAACCACTTCTATCAAAACCTTTTGAATCATAACCATCAATGTTAAAATTGTCTTCAGAAAAACCAAACCTATCTAAACCCATGCTGTCGTAACCGTTTCGTTTAAAGCCCTGACGATCAAATCCATTTACATTATAAATTCCTCTGTTGTCTGCATCTCCGTTACGGTTCACACCATACACATTGAAACCTTCATTATCATAACCTTCTCTATTGAAGCCATGCCTGTCATAACCAAGAGAGTTATAATTGAGATTTGGCAGCGTGACATTGCAAACTGCAGCTTCTGAAAGAGCAAAGTATGTAACACACATCTGTTTCTTACTGTCCATGACGTCGTCTGGTGAAAGTTTAAACGGCATCATGGGAATGTAACGGAGTTCTTGCGGATAATTAAGGAGGCCAGCTTCATGTTTATTCTGCCAATCCAACCACATCCTATCAATAAATGCTGCCACTGAAAAAAACAATGGATCATATGGGCTCAGGTCTGATTCCATGTGACCTCCAACCCAGGATTTAAACATATTAAAGTACAATTCCATATGAAGTCTGAATTTATCATACGATGGTTCATTCAGTGCAATCTGTAAGTCAATTACATCTGGGAGTGGAACTTCCAAATTGAATCTCCTTCTCAAGCAAGGAACCAGATATGGCGGGTAATAGTCTTTGAATGCATGATGATCAACACATCCAGTAATATCGGAACCATCTCCACCAAATTTATCTGCAGCCCATATAGTTGCTTTTTGCTGGTTTCCTGCATTAAGTGTCCAATCATAGTATGGTATGGTTATTGAACAATCAGTCTCCTGTAGCTTCTGCTCAACCATACGCAGGAAGTTCCTGTGCCATGGAAGTGAGGCTGTATTTCCGACAGCTTGAGCTTTATGATCGGCATATAGTTTAGCGAAGCGAAACCAGTCTGAGGGGAATCCCTTCTTATTCAAGTTTTTCACAGCATCCTGGTATTTCTGTAGCTCTTCAGTGGTCATATCGCGTATTTCTTTCCTGCGATAAATCTGAGGACACGAGCATTCAACAGCACCTGTGTATGTACATGTACAAAACTGGCAACCGGCACGGAAGGTTTCCCCAAATTTGTATGACATATTATTATAAGCGCAGCCGCACTTGGCCTCCCTGCAATTAACGTCCTCACATTTTTTACCTCTAGAGAATTGTATCACATCTGTGTATTCATTCTCTTGGTTTTGACATTGTGCAAGAGTAGCCTGTCTACACCTATATACATATTCTGTGTATGTTCCAAAGGCATTCAAACCGTTTCTGTTGAAACCCTCACAGTTATAGCCAAGTCTGAAGAAATAACAGTTATGAAATAAACCTTTTAGTATCAAAGAACATCATTGTAATGTAAAACATAACAGAGTTTACATGCAAAGGTTATCAAAAGGGTATAATTCACTTGACGGATTTCCATTGAGGTCCAAATGCCATAAAATATAAAATTTTAATTTGTAACATAGATCAACTTTGGCACATAAAACTGAAATATATGCAAAAATATGATAAAGAAATAACATAGAATTAAATAGATCATAATTTTGTGTGATTCTTAGGAAAATTGAAGTTAAAAGCATTTAATCGCTTTTCATTTTGGGTCATTTTCCATAACTGAAATAATTATTCTGGAAAAACAGACTGAGCAAATGATCTGAAATTGTGCACAAAAGTAATTGGTCCATAGCTTTATCAAATGTTATAGGAATAAAAAAATTTTTTTGAGTCTCTTTGTGTCAAAAACCCTTTACAATCGGTTCAACGGTCTTCATGGCAAATGATAAACTTTCTAAATGTTAAGCGGCTTTCAGTTTTTCCTAATGTAACATATGTTATTTTTGAATACATCGTTCTATATAATGGTCAAATCAAAAGAAATGACGTGGAAAATGATTTTTGCCAATACATAAACAATGAGGAAACCCCTTGATATCTTCTAATCTACCGGTCCACTCTCTATATGTAAACAAGATATGTTTGTAAAACATGTATGCCCCCTATCAGCAGCCAATGAGTCATGTGATAAGGTTATTATGCATGACTTCTGACCCAGTGATCAAACAATTAATAAGGGTTATCAAGTATAACTGGTCATGACCTTAACCTTTGACCCCTTAACCCCAAAATCCAATAGGGGTCATCTGCTGGTCACGACCAATCATCATACAAAGTTTGAAGTTCCTAGGCCTAAGCTTTTTAAGTTAATTGATCGGAAACCGTTTTAACATACAAGGTCAATGTGACCTTGACCTTTGACCCCTTGACCCCAAAATCAATAGGTCATCTGCTAGTCATGACCAATCACCATACCATGTTTGAAGTTCCAAGGCCAAAGGGTTCTTAAGTTATTGATTTGAAAGCATTTTTACCTACAAGGTCAATGTGACCTTGCCCTTTGACCCTTAACCTCAATATCAATAGGGGTCATCTACTGGTCATGACCAATCATCATACCAAGTTTGAAGTTCTTAGGCCTAGGGGTTCTTTAGTTATTGATTCGAAACCGTTTTTACTTAAGAGGTCAATGTGACCTTGACCTTTGACCCCTTGACCCCAAAATCAATAGGGGTCATCTACTGATCATGACCAATCACAATATCAAGTTTGAAGTCCCTAGGCCTAAGGGTTCATTCGTAATTGATCGGAAACCGTTTTTACCTACAAAGTCAATATGACCTTGACCTTTGACCCCTTAACCCCAAAATCAATAGGGGTCATCTGCTGGTCATGACCAATCACCATACTAAGTTTGAAGTTCCTAGGCCTAAGGGTTCTTTTGTTATTGATCGGAAATTGTTTTTACCTTCATGGTCAATGTGACCTTGACCTTTGACCCCTTAACCCCAAAATCAATAGGGGTCATCTGCTGTCATGACCAATCACCATACCAAGTTTGAAGTTCCTAGGCCTAAGGGTTCTTTTGTTATTGATCAGAAACCGTTTTTACCAAAAAGGTCAATGTGACCTTGACCTTTGACCCCTTGACCCCAAAATCAATATGGGTCATCTACTGATCATGACCAATCACCATACCAAGTTTGAAGTTCCTAGGCCTAAAAGTTCTTTAGTTATTGATCCGAAACCGTTATTGCTTACAAGGTCAATGTGACCTTGACCTTTGACCCCTTGACCCCAAAATCAATAGGGGTCATCTACTGATCATGACCAATCACAATACCAAGTTTGAAGTTCCTAGGCCTTAGTTCTTTAGTTATTGATCGGAAACCGTTTTTGCTTACAAGGTCAATATGACCTTGACCTTTGACCCCAAAAACAATAGGGATCATCTACTGATCAAGACCAATCACCATATCAAGTTTGAAGTTCCTAGGCCTTGAGGTTCTTTAGTTATTGATTGGAAACCGTTTTTGCTTACAAGGTCAATGTGACATTGACCTTTGACCCCTTGACCCCAAAATCAATAGGGGTCATCTACTGATCATGACCAATCACCATACAAAGTTTAAAATTCCTAGGCCTTAAAGTTCTTTAGTTATTGATCGGAAACCGTTTTTGCTTACAAGGTCAATGTGACCTTGACCTTTGACCCCAAAATCAATAGGGATCATCTACTGATCATGACCAATCACCATATCAAGTTTGAAGTTCCTAGGCCTTAAGGTTCTTAAGTTATTGATCGGAAACCGTTTTGCTTACAAGGTCAATGTGACCTTGACCTTTGACCCCTTGACCCCAAAATCAATAGGGATCATCTACTGATCATGACCAATCACCATATCAAGTTTGAAGTTCCTAGGCCTTAAGGTTCTTTAGTTATTGATCGTAAACCGTTTTTGCTTACAAGGTCAATGTGACCTTGACCTTTGACCCCTTGACCCCAAAATCAATAGGGGTCATCTACTGGTCATGACCAATCACCATACCAAGTTTGAAGTTCCTAGGCCTTAAGGTTCTTTAGTTATTGATCGGAAACCGTTTTTGCTTACAAGGTCAATGTGACCTTGACCTTTGACCCCTTGACCCCAAAATCAATAGGGGTCATCTACTGGTCATGACCAATCACCATACCAAGTTTGAAGTTCCTAGGCCTTAAGGTTCTTTAGTTATTGATCGGAAACCGTTTTTGCTTACAAGGTCAATGTGACCTTGACCTTTGACCCCTTGACCCCAAAATCAATAGGGGTCATCTACTGGTCATGACCAATCACCATACCAAGTTTGAAGTTCTTAGGCCTAAGGGTTCTTTAGTTATCACTCGGAAACCATTTGGTCTACGGACCGACGGACCGACGGACCAACGGACCGACGGACCGACAAGTGCAAAGCAATATACCCCCTTTTCTTCGAAATGGGGGCATAATTAGTAAAACAGGCGCTTTGTTTCCTGGTCTTCTAAATTTAGAAATGAACATCACTGATCATAGTGATGGGCTATAAATAGCTCTCGGGATACTGTTTTGAAGAAGGCTTAACAGTGATATGATGCACTTTTCAAAGATAAAAATCACTGAAATACTTCATGTGAAACAACACAGAATTGTTTTTTCAACAAAAACAAAAAAGCTGAAGGCCACTTTAAACCATACCTATTATATCCTTCCTCATCATAGCCATCCTTGTTGTAGTCTATGTTACCATCATATTCCCCGGCCTGGTTATAACCTGTTAGATTATATCCTTCACGAGTGTATCCAGCTTTATCCAGGCCCCATCTATTATAGCCTTCACGATCTAAACCATTACGATCAAATCCTGAAAAATATGGGATTTTTTATTAAGATTTAAGTCACTATTAAAGTAGGCTTACCAAGTCTTATGTAATTTTCTTGTGATTGATGCTTCCGAGGGATCACTTTGGAAATTTTCCAGATTTTTTTTTTTACTGTAATGCTTTCTCACCAAAAATATTCTAACATCCCCCAATATCATAATAAATTGGTCATTTCCAGAACAATCTTCAGTATAACTTTTTAACAGTTTATAACCAAATTTAGTACATAGCCATAAAGGATGAGTGATTTTAGATAGTCTAATGCCTAAGATTTTGAAAAAAACAACGTTCCAGAAATAACTGTAATGGTACAATATTGGCCGATGTGAAGATTTTTTTGAGCAGAAAGCATGACAGTAAAACTACCTAAACTCTAGGCCTGCACATGGTAACTGACGCTATCCATGCAAGCAGTGCAGACCATGATCAAACTGCATTGATCCCATATAACCTGCACAGACCATATTCAGCAGGCACTTCTGTGATGTCTGGTCATGGTCTGCACTGTCCGCTATTCAGTCAATACATATTTTGAAATCTTCCCTAAAATATCACAAATGGTTTAGTCCAGATTGAAAGATAGACAAGTCCATTTAAGATTTTTAGTGTTGTAATAGTAACCTGTGCTGAGCAGCTGGCACTCTGTAAAGCAATGACCTCTTTATAACAGACTCAATTTGCCCCAAAACAAAATACCAAAATCATTTAACCTTTCTAGAGCCAATATTTTCAGTAACAATCAAAAAATCTGTTTACCAAAGGGTCTTGCTATCTGCAGATATTGTACTGTAGCAGGATGTTGCTCTGCAGATATTGTACTGTAGCAGGGTATTACTCTGCAGATATTGTACTGTTCTGCAGATATTGTACTGCTCTGTAGATATTGTACTGTAGCAGGGTGTTGCTCTACAGATATTGTACTGCTTTGCAGATATTGTACTGCTCTACAGATATTGTACTGCTCTACAGATATTGTACTGCTCTGCAGATATTGCACTGTAGCAGGGTGTTGCTCTAAAGATATTGTACTGCTCTGCAGATATTGTTCTGCTCTACAGATATTGTACTGCTTTGCAGATATTGTACTGCTCTACAGATATTGTACTGCTCTACAGATATTGTACTGCTCTGCAGATATTGTACTGCTCTACAGATATAATGTACTGCTTTGCAGATATTGTACTGTAACAGAGTGGTACTCTGCAGATATTATACTACACCAGGATGTTGCTCTACAGATATTATACTGTAGCAATTAAGTTATATATAGCCTTGTGCAACACAATTTTTATATAAACCGTTTAAATACAATACATGAACTATATGAATTATGTTGTACCTTGCCAATCATATCTGTCTGGATAAAACCGGTTTCTTCCGGTTTTAATACCATTGTCCTCAATTCTGACATCTCCCCTGCGGCTTCGTCCTTCCACGTCAAAACCATACCTAATAGTAGTATATACAACTGTTTTAACAATGATCATACTCTAATACTCATGTATATATTATATTAAGCTTATTTTAGATGTTTTTTTCATATTTGACAGTACATTATCTTATGTTTATATAAATCAACAGTTCTACCCTAACATTTATGCATAAAGGATATATTTTGATTTGTATTTACAAACATGAATCTAGGCAAAAGATTTAATGATTAATCCCTTGACGAAGAAATTTAAAAGGAGAGGAGTTCACAACAAATGATTCATGATTCTCTTCTATAACAATTATAGAAGTATTGATAAAAACACCACTAACATTTTTAGAATTGCACATGTTTTTTTTGTGTTTATTTTATTTTCTACGTAGAGCATATCTCAAGGTAAGTATAATGTATAATATATAGAGGATATTGAATGAGATGAATTTATTGAACAAGTTGAATAAAATCATATTATGCGAGCCTCTGGCGAGCATAACACTGTTAAACAAGTTTCAACAAATTTAGTATTGAATCTACACCAATATAATATTCTATTTATCACATATATAAAATAAGAACAGTTAAAAAAAAGTCATTTTTTCATGCCTATAGTGACATGCCCATAGTGTAACGTTAACATTAGCGAGCTTGAATGGTATGTTTTTGTATAAAGCAAAATTAATGATGTCATGTCAAAGAGTTATTACACTAGTGTAATATCGCTTTTATTATATGGCTTTCTTACACTCCTGCCCCGCGGTTTATGTGATACACAGAAATACTATATCATAACAACCAACTTACATGTCATAACTTTGAAGATCATAGCCTATAATTGCCTCCTTGTTCTTTATTGTTCTATAGCAGCAAGCTCCTATCCTACATCTAGTCTCACAAGCCTCCCTTGAGAGGAAGTTGTTGGCATTTCCTGTACACCCACTATATATGAAAGATCTACACGATTGTGTAGTTCTGTCAAAATACCATCTGGATGACCTATCTGAACAACTTCCTGTTAAATTATAATTTATTTATTGAAAATAAGGTAATATATGTATTTTTCAGTATTCAAATATTTCCTAAAAGCCACTTCCAAACAATACCACATTTAGAAAATATGTCACAAATATCATTTCCCATTAACAACAAGCAATTATCATAGTATTGCAAGCAATCCATAAGTCCCCTACCGGTAAGAGCCCAAGCAACATTCTGAAGGGCCATTGGCCATTCACTTATGTTCTCATTTTAAGTAAATTTGTTGAAAAAGTTCTTTTAAAGTGATCACAGGAAACAGTTTTTATGTACAGACAGACGGACTGAAGGACACTCTAAAGTTATTTTTTAAACATCCCTGTTATCAAAATATAACATTTTTAAAATCCTATGATTGAAGAAGTTGGAGTAAAAATTACCAATTTCTCGAAAAAAGAGTCTAAGTTCAAAAGGGGCATAATTCTGGAAATAGTCTTGCTAGAGTATTGAACACTCACAAATGTTAAGTGATAATAAGAAACATTATATGAAGTTTGAAGTAGATACATTCAGAAAAAGAAGTTATTAAAAAAAAAAAAACAATGTTTTTTTCATGAAAATTTTAAGTTCAAGGGAGGTAATTCTGATAAATTTTGTGCTAGAGTTGTAAACCTTGTCACATATGATGTGGTTGATGACAAGCAACTTATATTTAAAGTTTGAAGAAAAAACCTTAAGAAATAAAAAACTTATAGTGAAAAAACTTAAAAACTAGAATCAGAAATCTTGAAATTCAGTATATTTGTTGCCATAGCAACCAGAATTTTCAACACAGGAAGATAAGAAAAGGATGTGCATAATTTCCATACTGCCATCTACCCATATGTCAAGTTTCATAAACATATTTTCAGTACTTTTTGTGTGATCACTGGATCCAGGTTATGTGTAAAATTTGCCATATTTTCAGTCTATTTGTTGCCATAGCAACCAGAATTTTCAACATAGGAAGAAAAGAAAAAGACGTGCATAATCTCCATACTGCCATCTATCTATATATCAAGTTTCATAAAAATATTTTCAGTACTTTTTGCGTTATCGCGGGATCCAGGTTATGTGTAAAATTTGCCATATTTTCAGTCTATTTGTTGCCATAGCAACCAGAATTTTCAACATAGGAAGAAAAGAAAAAGACGTGCATAATCTCCATGCTGCCATCTATCCATATATCAAGTTTCATTAAAATATTTTCAGTACTTTTTGCGTTATCGCGGGATCCAGTTTTGCGGACGGACGAACTGACGGACGGACAGACGGACTGACGGACTGACGGACGGACGGACAGACGGACGGAGGGTAAACCTAAAGTCCCCTCCGGTAAACCGGTAGGGGACTAATTACAGTTAACAGTATCAGGCAAAAGAACAGTATGCTGCACTATTCTCTATGCTAAATATTACAACAACAGTTATTTAAGTTCACAATTGGTATAATTCAGTAAAGATGTATGCATGAAGTTTCATATGAAAAATAACAAATAACAATTAGTCACTGTTCAGAACAGTTCACTATTTAGGAGAGAAGATGTGTAAGCGGCCGGAATAGCTCAGTCGGTAGAGCCGCGGTACGGTATTCCGAGGGTCCCAGGTTCAAGTCTCGGTCAGGCTGTACATAATAAATTTTCTCACCCTGTGACAAATAGTTGTAAAAAAGTGCTTGCACAAGAAACCTTATCCATATAATTTTTTTCTTAGTTCATAACATTGAATGATTCATTCACTATCTTCTTAACGATGTACACTAGAGTTATGGGTCTTGTTCAGTCTAATTCAGTGACCTATAGTTATTACCCAAAAGACACATGTTTAGTTTCAAGTAAAGATATTGGGATAAAACTTGAACAGAAAATCTTATAAAAGGATTTTTAAAAGCTTACAAAGGGGTGTAATTTAGTAACAATTCATGTAAGAGTAACGGATCTTGAACAGTTAAGCAAATTTACAAGTAAATACTACTAAATAGTTCACTGATAATGTTAACCCTTTACCACATATATACGCGAAACAACGCACTTTCGACCCCCCCCCCCTTTTTTTAGGCCTAAAATAGTGAAAAAATGGTCCTATTTGGGCCCCAAACATAAGTTTTCGTTTGAGAAATGTTGCTTAAAAAATTGAGCACTTTTTCGGCGCCGCCCCCCATCCAAAAGATACACCAGGGGGTTGCCAGAAGGGGGATGTGTTAGGGGGATGTGTTAGGGGGGTTTGAAGGGGGGCGGAGTCCCCCTCATTGCAAAGAAAATTTTGGACTTGTGAGAGGCTAAAAATGACCCCAGGTCGATCATAATGTAACGTTTTACCAACGATGAAAAGCCTTTGACTCTATCTCAATCCCTTGAGCAGTTGCAGCACTTTGAAATAAATTTTGATGGAAAAAATCGAGACAAAATGGTGATTTTTGTCAATTTTGAGATGTCCCCTCGTTGCCATGATAACAGGAAATTTAAGACTGAGCATGTCGTTACAAAGGCAATGGTCTAGTCAACATTTGTGCCAAGTTTGATTAGTATTGAAGCATTTTTCATAGTTTCATAGCAGTTTGAACTTGTAACAGGAGGCTTTTCAGTGAAAACGGCCATTTTTCACAATATGCTCATGGGGGAAAGGGTTAACTAAAAAAATTATAAATGTTACAAAACAACAATTTTTCACCACAATTAGGTGAAATACGACATGCTAACATGGAAAAACTATTTTTTAGGTGATTCCAAAGTTTTTCATCATTTTTTGTTAACCCTTTACCACATATATACGCGAAACAACGCACTTTCGACCATCTCCCCCTTTTTAGGCCTCAAATAGTGAAAAAATGGTCCTATTTGGGCCCCAAACATAAGCTTTCGTTTGAGAAATGTTGTTTAAACTAGAAATGTGTCCACAGGACACGGATGCCCCCACACGCCACTGTTCTGTCAATCTTATGACTCTAGGTCAAATATTTTTTGGACTACATGTGCCACAAGTTGAAAACTAAAAATCAACAAAGGGCCATAATTCTGTTAAATTTGGTCGCAGCAAAAATTCATACCTTTACTACCATCTACACATTAAGGTTGTTAATCCCTGGAAGTTTAAGCAAAATCTGCTATCCGGTTTAAGAGGAGTTGCGTTCACAAAATTTCTACATAGTATATAATGAAAAAATCAACAAAGGGCCATACTGTGAATTCACATAAATTCGTGGGCTTGAAATTTCGTGGTTTTATCAAAAAGGGCATTTTCGTGGGTTCTTAAATTCGTTGATTTTCATTTTCATGTAAAAAAAAAATTTAGAAAAAAAATCAAAAAATCTTACATCAGACTACATCGGTATCAAGTTACGATCGATGTGCACCGTTGCGTGACATATATCCGCCACACTGTGTGTATTACGTCGCTAATTAGAACTGCCCTCTGGAGTGTCAATAACAGCCCCCCCAATAAAACGAAATATCTTTTCACACGTCAATTAAATTGACAATTAGAGACGTTTTATCGGCAACATTTAATGCACAGGGTCCCAAATGATTGTTATTATAAAAACACATAATCCTATCATATGGTCACTTTCTACAAAGTATTCAAAACAAACAGATCGTTTAAACTTCTGAATTAATATTCTTAATATTATTAAATTACTGTAACTTAAAACAATGTCACTTGCACAATGGTTAAAAACGGGCAAGATTCAAACTCGTTCTCCGAGTGTTGCAGGACTTCCAGAACCTGCTGAAGCTTTAACAGCTTCAGATGCTATTGCTACTCAGGTATTAACACATTTAAATTAATTAATAATACAATATGCACCGTGTTTTTGTCGTACTAGTATTGAAAATAAACTACGCTAAGAGATTGAATTGGCGTTCTGATTTTACATGTTTTACTTATGACAAATTTTAAACAAACAATACACTCGTTCTAAATATTTTTTTCCATTTCTTCCCGACTTTGTAGAATCGAAATATCATAAAACTGTATTTGCATTCATAACAAAACATAAAATGCTCAAAGTTTACTGCATATTTATATATTTATTTACAAATAACACATAATTTTATGCGTGTTTTTAAATGTCGAAAAATGATGTTGATTATACACTGGATTATAGACTTACGGAACGAAATAAATAAAAGCGCATTTGTTTAACATTGTTGTCAGTTATTAGTTTACGAAACAGCTTTTAAAATATATATTTATGTTGTATTTTCAATATATTCAATAAATATTCAAATCAATATGTTTTCTATGAAAAAATGTACAAATGTAAGCCGACGCTTGAATCATGTCAAAAAAATTATTTAGCCTGTATTCTCAATAAATATATTCGTTTATCATCAAAATGCATTAATAATGCAATTCTTTTTTGTTGAAAATTCCGGGCTGCCAATGACGCCGTAGAAATCGTCATAACTGAATCCAGAAAGAGAAAACGCGGTGAATACGGTAACTACACTGATGAAACACGTGCAAAGATCGCACGGTATGCCATTGATAACGGGGTCCCCAAGGCTTCAAGGTGCTTCACGACTAAACTTGGTCGGAAGGTTAGTGAAACAACCGTTCGGAGTATGCGTGATCAGTATGTGAAATTGAAGAAAAAGATTGGGGCCGATTCAGCAACTCTAGCACGATCTCCACGTGGGGCTCCGACCGTTTTGGGTGACCAAGACGAAGCCGTACAGAAGTACATTAGGCAGGTTCGGTTAAAGGGTGGTGTTGTAAATGTGCGGACTGTGATAGCAGCAGCCGAGGGAATCATGACGAAAAATTCACGTCACAAGCTAAAGAAATATGGAGGACATATAGTGATTGAGAAGTCTCTAGGTTGGTCGATACTGAGACGCATGGGTTATGTGAAAAGAAAGGGAACCAAGGCTACAAAATCCTTAGTTAATGACTTTGACGATATTCAGAAGGAATTCGTGGATAAGGTTAACAGTGTTGTGAGGGAACATAACGTGCCAGATTCTCTTTTTATTAACTGGGACCAGACAGGTTGCCAGATGGTACCCGGGGGTGAATGGACAATGGATGAGCGTGGTTCTACCCAGGTCACCATAGCTGGTCTTGACGACAAGCGCCAGATCACCGTCTTACTCGCTGCTGCTAAAGATGGTACCCTACTACCGCCTCAAGTGATTTACGCTGGCAAGTCTGACAGATGTCTTCCTAAAGGTGTTCGATTTCCGAATGACTGGGATGTTACGCACACAGAATCGCACTGGAGTAACGAGGACAGTATGATACGGTATGTAGAAAAAGTGATCGTGCCATACGTAAACAGCATCCGGGATACCTTACCACTTTCCCAATGTGACCAACAAGCAATCGCTCTGTTTGATGTTTTTAAGGCCCACCAGAGTCCGCGTTTGATTGAACTTCTTAAGGAAAATAACATTACCCCGCTGTTTGTGCCGGCTGCATGTACAGACAAACTTCAGCCACTTGATTTGTCGGTAAATTATGAATACAAGGAGGGATTGAAACAATGTTTCCATGATTGGTACAGTCAACAGGTAGTGTCCCTCTTAGATGAGAACGGGTGCGATCCTACGGCAGCCGCAAGTGTTGACCTTCGGACGGCGACACTAAAACCCGTGCACGCAGAATGGATTATATCAACCCACGAAAAGATGATGTTGCGTCCGGATCTTGTAAAGGCAGGTTTTAGAAAGGCTGGACTTTGAATTCAACAAAACAATTAAAAAAGTGTGCTTCTTCATGTACAATGTGTGCTTCTTCATGTACAATATTTAAGATAAAAGTACAAACAGTTATTAACGTGCTATGTTACGAGTATATGTGTATACATAAATGTGTTCTAGTTTTACCAAATTTTCTATTTTTACTTTTTTACAGTAAATGATGACTCATAGGAAGATTTTAAATGCTAATGACTGGAAAAAAAAATGTGCTTCTTCGTGTTTAATACTGCATTTGAAATAAAAGTACAAACAGTTACGATTCACGTGTAATTACTGGTTTATATGTTTAATGTTTAACTGTAAACAGTATTATGTGCTACTAATTAATGATAATTCCTAGAAAAATATTAAAGTTTGAAACTTGTTATGTGTTTTTATGTGTTGTTTATATTCTTATTTGTAAATAAAGGTGTCTGATATATACAGAACAGCACTAGTAATTAAATACAGATACTAGTACACGGTACACGTAATTAAACACTGAAACACCTTACCTTTATGTTTCACCTCCACCAAGTTAACAAGTAATTCTTTAATAGGACAATATAATGACAGCATATTCATTTGATTAAAAAAAATCCCTCGGTACACTTTTTTCCCCATACTGTTATTTACTTGATTCAGTAAAGTATTCTGGTTTAAAGAAAAATCAAGTAGCGCACAACAATCGAGTAGTCCCCGTAATGTGTATATGTGGAAGCAGCATTTTTCCCGACAATTTAGAGTGAACTTTGAAGACATTTCATCGACTTTTCTTTCAAGTTTCTTAAATATTATAAACCTTAACTACTTTTTGATTAAATCTGTCTCTTACCTGATTATATATATACCTTTGCAACACGATAATCGGCTGAAAATACGCCGTTGCATGTGTGTAATGTATGGACCCGAGATTAGAAATAAGACATTGTGAGACGTATTTGTTGGTATAAAAGTTCGTTGGATCTTAAATTCGTGGATTGAGCAACCCACGAAATCCACGAAAATTAGTGCCCCACGAATAATAATGATTTTGCAGTAATTCTGTTAAATTTGGTCGCAGCAAAAATTCCTTCCTTTACTACCATCTACACATTAAGGTTATCAATCCCTGGAAGTTTAAGCAAAATCTGCCATCCGGTTTAAGAGGAGTTGCATTCACAAAATTTCTACATAGTATATAGTGAAAAAATCAACAAAGGGCCATAATTCTGTTAAATTTGGTCGCAGCAAAAATTCCTTCCTTTACTACCATCTTCACCTTAAGGTTGTTCATCCCTGTAAGTTTAAGCAAAATCTATCATGCGGTTTAAGAGCAGTTGCGTTCACAAAATTTCTACATAGTATATCGTGAAAAAATCAACAAAGGGCCATAATTCTGTTAAATTTGGTCGCAGCAAAAATTCCTTCCTTTACTACCATCTACACATTAAGGTTGTTTATCCCTGTAAGTTTAAACAAAATCTGCCATGCGGTTTAAGAGGAGTTGGGTTCACAAAATTTCTACATAGTATCTAGTGAAAAAATCAACAAAGGGCCATAATTCTGTTAAATTTGATCGCAGCGAAAATTCCTTCCTTTACTACCATCTACACATTAAGGTTGTTCATCCCTGTAAGTTTAAGCAAAATCTGTCATCCGGTTTAAGAGGAGTTGCATTCACAAGATTCGGGACGTACGGATGGACTGACGCGCTGACGGACGGACGGACAAGTGCAACACTATATGCTCCCACATTGTGGGGGCATAAAAATTGAGCACTTTTTCGGCGCCGCCCCCCATCCAAAAGATACATCAGGGGGTTGCCAGAAGGGGGATGTGCCCCCTTCTGTTAGGGGGGTTTGAAGGGGGGCGGAGTCCCCCTCATCGCCAAGAAAATTTTGGACTTGTGAGAAGCTAAAAATGACCCCAGGTCGATCATAAGTTTACGTGTAACCAACGCTGAAAAGCCTTTGACTCTATCTCAATCCCCTGAGGAGTTGCAGCACTTTGGAATAAATTTTGATGGAAAAAATCGAGGCAAAATAGTGATTTTTGGCAATTTTGAGATGTCCCCTCGTTGCCATGGTAACATGAAATTTAAGAATGAGCATGCCGTTACAAAGGCAATGGTCGAGTCAACATTTGTGCCAAGTTTGATTAGTATTGAAGCATTTTTCATAGTTTCATAGCAGTTTGAACTTGTAACAGGAGGCTTTTCATTGAAATCGGCCATTTTTCACAATATGCTCATGGGGGAAAGGGTTAAAGGAGCTCCACTGAGATAAAAAAGCCTAAAAACAAAAAATTTGGAATTCTTAAATAAATCAAATGAAGGGCTCTTCAATCTTCAATGAAATTATAGAAATTTACTCAGAATTGAATTTTTTGTTCGATTCTTAGCCCGATTTGAATGAAAAGCATTGCAACTCTTTTTTATTTTTTCATCATTTTATACAAGAAAAATGACTATTCTGGAAAAACATGGTAAGAAATTGATCTGAAAATTAGCACATAAGTTATTTGTCCAAACTAACCCTATATGGTACACAAATCTTGGAAAAATATTTCTAGTTCCGTCATGTCAAAAAAACTATAGTGGAGTCCCTTTAAACAATAACATTACATAATTTACAAACCTGTACTAAGAGGAACAAACCTGTACTAAGAGGAAGTTCACAGACTTCTAGAGCTACATACTGACAGTAGTGACCATCAAATCCTGGTGGACATTTACATGTTGTAAGTTGCGGCTCTAATGGCCATACTGACTGGACGCAAGTCCCACCATTCTCACAGGGGTTAGGTGCACAGAAATCTAAAATGTCCCATAAAATTTCCACTAGGGGGTTATCAATTTTTAAATTTTTAAAAGAAAAGGAGGATAGACCCTACCCTATTTTACTAGACTGGAAAATAAAGGAGTAACCCTTTGGGGCTAAAAAAAATTTTTTAAATCTGTTTCAATTCTATTTTTTTAAATTTTTTAAAAAAATTAATGCCAAATGTAAATGGGTCAGTCAACAGGTGGCAATTTCTATAAATAGCGTTCAGAATGTATAGATAACGTCCATTTCTTACAAAGAGTGGGGTAGCCTTTTTTATTATTTTTGCAGTTTTTATATTGAATAATAAACATTTTTCATTATCAAATATTGGTAAATCAACATTATAATAGCCAAATGTTTTTAATATATTACTAATTTGACCCAAATGGACAGTGAAAAAATCAGCATAATGTCACTTTAATTAAATATAATTTGTTTTAAACATATTTTTTTAAGCTCAATTGTAAAGCAAGTTCTTGCAACTTATATTAATCACTTTTAAGTCCACTTCCTGGAACTAACCAGTACTGGTATCATATAAAGAAACATGGTCGTGACCCCAATATTGGCTGGAACACATGATCCAGAGGTTGAGTGGCAGACACCTTAACCGCTAGGCCACCGCTCCCCTGAAACATAATTTATTCCAGCTGAATTGTGTAGAAAGCTTGAAGCTTATTTGAATATCTTAAAACATAACATCATTGGTCCTCCCCTCATGAGAGCACATGAAAACATTTAGGGGCACCTTAACCACTGTTCTGCTCTTTATGAAAGTACTCCTGACAGAGACCAAGATCACTGGTAAATAAAGATAAAGACTGTTTATTTCGGAAAACACAAATTTAGTTCAAATGAAAAATAAAACAGAAACAAAATATTTTACCTCTCTCCTCAAAGCAGTCAACTTCTTTGCCAGTAACATACCATCTGGCCTTACAAACGCCACAGAAATCTACCCGACATTTTGCTTCTGGGTAAGACGGACATGTATCTGTCACACATGGGTTGTTGTCACATGTTGCAATATCAGAGTCACATCTGCACGGGTTCACAAAGTCATCAATGTCAAAACAAAACCTGGCTGAATTTTTTACCTGGCTGTCCGATTCTTCTACCTTAACCATATCTATATATAAAATACAAGATATCAACTTTTATTATATACTTGTAAATGAAATATGTATAGAGAAATATTGATGAAATAAAATGCATATTTTCATTTTCTGTATTTTCACTATAAAAATTTATTTTTCACTGCAATGAAACATACTTTCATTTTTTCACTGGTGTCTTGCCAGACTACTTTCTTTAAAATTCTGCCAGTTCACAAAATTTCAGGGAAAGTCTTTCAAATTGTAATGTCAAAAAAGAGAAAAATGTTAACAATAAACAGAAAATTCAAAATTTTTCTATAAATACATAATTTATTTTCATCGTGTAGCATGAAAAATATCATATTTCACTTGTGGCTATAGCCACTCATGAGAGCATGACTACAGGACAGATGAGCAGACAAGGGCTAAACTATATGTGCTGCCCCTAAGAAGTTGGGGCATAACAAGAGCTGTTAGTAGGAGAGCATGCTCGGATATTTTCAATGCTTGATAGGTAAAACAAAAGCTTGGATTTTAAAAAAACAAAGAAAGTTTCCTTCCAAAAAAATAATGACATGAATCAAAATGTTTTGATAATTTTTAAAAAGGTTTTTTCCAAAAAAATTTGGAAATGTGACTAATTTTGAACTGTAAACGAAATTAAACTTGAAAAAAAATTTTTTCCCTTTTCAAAAAAACCCCCGGGGACCCAAAGATTTTTTTTATTTTTTAGGGCTTCTTTTTTAAAAAAATTTTTTAAGGGTTTTTGGGGCCCCAAATGACCCCTTCTCCCGAACTTACCTTTTAAAGAAATTTTTCACAAAAAAATTTTCTCCTGCAATTTCCAGGATATTGGATAAAATTTGACCCAAAATAGATGTTTAAAAAAAAAGTTTTTAAAAAAAAATTTTTTTAGCCCAAAAAAACTATTTGCCGAGGCGTTTCATCTTCGAACTTGCCCCCTAGAATCACCCCCCAAAACCTCGAGGAACCCCCCCTTTTTAAAAAAAACATTAAAATTTTGAATAAGATAGAAAACCTGTCACATCTTTAATATCAGTGATCCAGTACTGTTGTAACCAGTTGAACGGTAGAGGTTTGAGACCCGGGCAGGTCCTTGCCAAGCTCATCAGGAATGTTTTCGACTGCACCAATAGCACATTCCAAATCTTTCGTGACTGTAAAGTGGCAAAAGGTCCCTTGTAGAAATAGTTACACCTCTGAGCATCTAAACCTGAGCTTCTAAATCCATAACGATCATAACCGTCTGTTGTGTAGCCTGAAATGTAATGGTTAATGAATTTTGTTTTAAATTAAAGGAATAAACAAGTTTAAAACTGCAGGGAGATCAATCGATTTTAACTTTCTGATATTGAAAACCCTGTAAGATGAAAGTGGACCTTTCCATATTCAAAGCAGAGGAAGTTTATATCATGAATATAGGAAGTAAGGGTTGAATATGCAAATACAATGAATGAAAAAGAATATTTTTCTTGTAAGCATGGTAATGAAGTACACGCTTAGACAGAAAGCCTAATAGAACAAGATATGTTTGTAAAACATGTATGCCCCCTATCGGCAGCCAATTAGTCATGTGATCAGGTTATTATGCATGACTTCTGACCCAGTGAACAAACAATTAATAAGGGTTATCTAGTATCTACTGGTCATGACTAGTCACAAGGTAATAATTATTGTGACCCCATAGGTTGTGTGCAGTAATTTAAGTTATTACAAATCTTACCAAATAATATATGCATATATTTTATGACTCATGTAGGCCTCATTAATGACAGCCAAGTTGTTATATTACATAAGACCTTCAAATGTGTTATACTAAAGCATTTTTAGTTTAATATTAAAATATCAACCAAGGCAACTTCAGTTGTTGAGTTATTGGTCAGAAACCGTCATTAAGTACAAGGTCAAATATGACATTGACCCCTTGACCCCAAAATCATCAATAGGGGTCATCTACTGGTCATGACCAATCATCATACCAAGTTTGAAGTTCCTAGGCCTAAGCGTTCTTTAGTTATTGATCGGAAACCGTTTTCACCTACAAGGTCAATGTGACCTTGACCTTCGACCCCTTGACCCAAAAATCAATAGAGGTCATCTGCTGGTCATGACCAATCACCATACCAAGTTTGAAGTTCCTAGGCCTAAGGGTTCTTTAGTTATCACTCGGAAACCATTTGGTCTACGGACCGAGGGACAGACAGACCGACGGACCAACAGACAGACAAATGCAGGGCATAATAAGAGATATTCATTTTCTTTTAACATTTTATGAAAATAAACTGGTAGAAAACGAAAAATACAAGGAAACCATAATTATGTCATATTATGAAAATATATAAAACACTCCTAGACAAAGATATTGTAAGATATTGGTAATAATAATTTACATGTACTTGTACCTGTAAATATGCGTTTATAAATAGGCAAAACAATTATTACACAGTAAATTAAACACATCCATTTGAGTTTAATTCTTAAAAAAAAACTTTTACATAAACCAATTATTTTTATGGCCATTTTTTGAAATAATAATACTGTGTTTTAAAAGAAATTAGATGTACCCCAAAGCTGAAAATTTGGGTTACGACAACCCCCTTTGGGTTGGGCAAACAACACTTTAACCATTACGCACTTCTCACTTAAAAAAAAATTTCACAAAAGAAAAGGGGATTAAGATTGTAATAGTTTTTTATTAAAAAATCAAATCACTACCCCTCCTGTCCAAACATTCATGTCTAAACCATACGCGTTGTATCTTCCGGTTTCATCTGGTGTGTTTTCTTTACTCCAACCCTCGACATCATAACCATATCGATCATAACCGTCTATGTCGTAACCATAACGATCATATCCGTCAATGTCATATCCATCCTTATTAAATCCATCCCTGTTATATCCTGAAATAATTTGTGAATAAATCAAACACTGGTATATACTGAAGTGTCTAAAGTACATGCATAACCAAAAAATTCTTGTTTTTTATGTACCTCTGCCTTAAAGTGTATTTAATTCAAAATCTCTGCTTCCTGGGCTATAATTCTGTGTCAAACTAGAAAAAACATGCTGAGGAAGAGGCAAGGACCATTTGAGACAATTAAATGCAGAGTAGGTTAGTTTGTAGCATGTTAATAGAGAAATTCCCACAAGTTTAAATAAATCTTTAAAAAATGGATAATAGAGTTTAGGTAAAAGGGACTCCACTGAGTTTTTTTCCCGATTAAAATTCCCCCAAAAATTTTTTCCCGAAAAATCTTTTCTTTTGTGAAAAATTTGTCCCAAAAAAAAAAAAGCATTGTGCTTTTCACTAAAAATTAGCTAAAAATTGAAATATAAACAAATTTTTTTTTCAATTCAGAGAAAATTTTTTTATTTTCCTAAGATTTATCCTTTTAAGTTTCACTTGAAATTATTTTTTTTCAGATTTTTTTTAAGATTTATTTTTGCCTTTGTGGTGATGGTTTTATTGGTTTTCAAAAACAGTTTACCAGTAACCTTGCCCTTTAACATTTGAATTTTAAATTTTAACCTTTGTACATGCCACAGGGGTACAGGCAAATGGGCCGTAGAAAGGATTTCATGATCAATCACAATGAGAGTGACCTGCACTATCCGGGAATCAAACTTGGGTCACCTGATTCACAGTCCAACGCTCTACATATTGAGATAACCGGACGGCTATTTTAGCCCTTGTGACCCACTATAGACATTTACTGTCTTACCGTTCTTCTTGAATCCCATTTTATCAAAGCCTCTTCTGTCATAGCCACCAGCATTATAACCAAGGGAGTTAAATCCTCCAGTGAATGTTCCTGATCCTTCTGGAGTTACATCCCCTCTTGGTGGATTTCTGCCATTATCCCGACCATCCAAGGTGACATTGCATGGAGAACCTTTGAGGAAATTTAAAAAATGAAAAATTTTTTGAAAAATCATTTTTTTTAATAACATCTTAAATTAAATTTTTCAACAATAGAAAAGGTCACAAAAAATGGCAAAAAAAAAACAAATCTCAAAAAAAAAATTTTTTTTTTGGTCATGACATCTACAATATTAAAAATTTAAAAAAAGAAAAAATAAATATGATCTGTTGGAAGTCAACAACCTTGGTTGGGGCCCGAGATATGACACACAAGTCGGGTTCTAGGTCAAGAAAGGGACTTGGGGGATATTTTAAGGGGACCATGGGAATATTGGCAAATGTAGCGGGATATTTGAATTTGTTGCCGTCCTTATTTTGCCACCACCAGTACAGCATGTCTATGTAGGCGTGAATCGAGTAAAACACTGGATCGTAAGACGCAGCACGTGTTGCCATATCGCCTCCAATGTATGTGTGAATATACGATACATACGACTCCAGGCACATACTCATTTCATTGTAATCATCACTTGCGAGGGCGATAGATAGTTCTATCAGTGTCGGAAGGTTAACGTCAGAATTGAATTTCCTCATGATACATGGTCTCCAGGATCCGGTAGGACCAAATGGATGATCAGCGACACAACCATCAACCCCGTTGCCACCAAAGAAGTTCGGCTGCCAGATGATCGACTCCTCAAAATTACCAATATCTGTTGTAAAGTCAAAGTAAGGTAATGTAATACTACAGTCAATCTGCTGGAGACGTTGTTCAAGTTTACGCAGGAATATTCTATGCCAGGGTAAGAAGTACGGACCGCCATTAGAATGCATAGTGTGCCTCATGTATATATCACGGAATTCTTCCCAAGGATTATCCGGGCCAACAAGACGAAGCTCTTGTATTGCTGCATGGAACTGAGCCAATTCTTGTTCAGTCATATCTCTAATTTCTTTTCTGACAGCTTTCTGTGAACAACTGAAAAAGACATAATACAAACTGAAATAGACATAATACAAACTGAAATAGACATAATACAAACTGAAATAGACATAATACAAACTGAAATAGACATAATAAAAGTTTTATATTTATTAAAGGTTTTTGAACAAATTTTCAAAAACAATAATCTACAAAAACATATTCATTAAGTCAAAGAAAAGTTTTAGTCTTCAAGAACAATCAGAATTTCACAGTAATTCGCCAGATTCATGAATTAAAAATTCTGATTTGTTAATTTTTGAGAAGAAATTTCATAATAAAGGAAGTTAAAATTTTTAATAACCTGCAAACAAACTGGCCAGAGCTCTCACAGGTACATTCTTGGCAACCCAACACTGCCTTCTCCCCGATTTCATACCGTCGGTCATCTATCATACACACAGCTTCGCCCCGGCCGCACCCAGCCACGTCACATGTCACCCCAGGATAAAATGATATCACCTCAAACTCTCTGTCACCAACCACCTGCCTGTGTGTTGACTGACATTCTGATAAAGTTATTTCCTTTATTTGAAAAGATAAACATATAAATGATATAGCGTGAATTGTAATTTCATGGAAATATTTAATCTACAAAAATTTATACAGGTCACTTTATAGTTTATATACAAACATTTCTAACACTAAGTTCAATAAACTTTTTTAAACAAAATGCATTAGACAAGAACACTTGTGACACAAATGTTGCTTTTTCACAATAAGAATAGTAAAAGTGAATAGGCATTATAAATTTGCCTTTAATTGACTATCAGTCAGCGTTAAGCATTTGTATTACACTTGGTGTTGGGAAAACATTTTTGTGAACATGCCATTTTGTTTAATACCAAGAGTTTTAAGAAACAGGATCTGAAAAAAGTTATGAAACCTCTGCCATGAATGATTAAATTATTTTTCCAATGTTATGTGTACACAAAAGTAAATTTCACACTCACGCACACCCACACACATACAAATTTTCATTTCATGTATCAAGAGAAAAAGGTTTGTTTATCTCTCTGATCTGTTTTTCAAAACAAGAAAGAAATAAAAGTACAGTAGATTAAGTAGATTGAGTAATAGAAAGAGCATCAAAACACAAGGCTATCTGATTTGTATGAGAGGGAATAGCTTCCCCCATCCCCCAAGTATAAATTCAATTGCTGAGTGTTTTAGTGATCTTTCTCCTTTTTATCATAGGCAAAAATATAACATTTTCCTGTTGTTACAATTTGAAACCCCAGAAATCATGTAGCCAATCAACAGTTGACAGACAGTGTGGTAACTAGGGTGCAAGTCACTAATAACTGTTCTCCAGTTAATGCACTGTGCATTTATGGGTATATATGATTTAACTCTGACATAATTTAAATAGAAAGGTCTATGATCAAACTATGATAAAAGGCAAGGGAGTTGGTTTATACAGAATTTATTTTAGTTTGATTGTGTAGGAAGCTATAAGCTTATAGACACCCTTTCAAATCTGTTCCTGGAACCAACCAGTACTGAGCAATACGTGTAAAGTTTCTTGCTCAAGGAAACAACGACTTGCCCCTGAGTTAAATCCTCCAGTGAATGTTCCTGATCCTTCAGTTCAATGATCAACAATCAGTCTTACAGACTAGCAATATATTGGCCATAATATTATGTAATAATCTGAAATGTTTGATCTCAGAGTGATGATATCATAAACATTAAACAATCATAAACATGCCTGCATCATATCCACATGAAATCATCAAAAAAAAGCTAATGTCATAGTATGATGTCATCAAAGCTGATGCTAATTACCCTCAATCTGCCAGAACCATTTGCCACTAGTATAGAGCCAGGCCAGCCTACACATCCGTGCAATATGCATTAATGCTTTATGCGGTAGAATGACTAGCTTAATAATGGACAGTTTGAAAAAATGGAAGCTGGAAAAGTGCATTAAAAAATAAGCAGGTTACGGATCAAGAAGTTTTTAACCATTACCTTGCATCCAAATGTCTCCATTTGTGAATCAATCATAATATCTTCAATCTTGCGTGAGAACTGCCTATAACAGCATGCCCCGGTTACGGCCACACCCTGACACTCCTCAAATGACTCATAGTTGTTTATGTTTCCACCACAACCTATTATTATATTATAAAAATTATAATTGTGTGTCTGAATTTTAGAAATAACTAGAGTTACATAATGCACACTTGTATATTCACCTTTTTCTTTTACTTTAAATTGATGCTTTTTAAGTAACATTCATTACCTCCCCTAGTGGTCATTTGCTGGTCATTCCAAATATGAGGTAAGATTAAATAAAATTGATATAAAGCTCCTCTTCAATGCAAACTGTTTGCTGTATCCATTATAAATAAGAGGACGAATTGGGACTATGTCACTGTATAGTACTGTTTACTAATTGGCAAGACAATGTTAAAACAGCCATGCAGCTCAGTTGAAATATCTGTACAATCATCCAAATGGTATTCCAAAAGTCCAGGAAACAAAGCCTTTTGCTCACTGACAAGAGCACTGCGGTGTAAATGCTCATCTGTTAAAGGCAACAACAATCTGTAACCAATTTTGACAAAAATTCTAAAATAACAAGGGGCTAAACACCAAAAATATAGCTTTCAAAATCATGTCCCTTGTCGCTGCACCATGTCATGATAATTAACTACCATAAGTTTCATGTTGATAACTATAAAAATGTTTGGATAATGGGCTACCTACATTAAAGTTTTTGCCGACTTCTATGACAGAGATAACGCAGTGATCATAATAGCTCAACTTTTTCTTCGAAACTGACAATGTTAATAACTTTTACGAAGGCAACCCATCAAATATAAATTATTTTGGTAATTATCTTGAGTAACTATTACCTGTGTAATTAAAGGGAAGGCACTCTTGTAGATCTACATCATAATAAAATCGTAGCAGATTTTGGTCACAGATTCCCGACTCACGCGGCCACACACAGGGGTTCTCTTTGTGATCGCAAAACTGACCATCGTAAGGTGGCTGACATAGACACTGGAAATTATCAGCTGATGTTGTATCGAAAGAAACACACTGACCCGAGTTCATGCATGGATTTATCTGGCATGGAGCTGAAAGTATAGGACCAGTTGATTTAAGATCATTTTCAAAATTTTGTCATTATTTTAAAAATGAACTTCTAAAGAGGTAAAGATATTCAAACTTGGCATATGAAGAAATTTATAAAACAAAATGTAGTCAATTTTGTTGTTAACCTATAATAAACTGTGAAAATAGAGCCTGATAACTATCTTCTTTATGATTTAAAAGTGGTGAACAATAATCTAGTATAAACCAGCATCTTGTGATTTAGTGTCTGCTGCAACATTCTGTATCAAACCCTCTTCTATAGTAAATGAAAATATACAATAATTAAATGTATTTTGACTATTTCAAGCACTATGGCTTTGTAAATATACGTCTATTTTTACTTTTTATTGTTGCGATCAAGCACTGTTATAAAAGAAGAATTATGTAAGCAAAAGTACTATTTTAATAATATTTTAACAGGAAATACAAAATCACTATATCTTTACTCATTGCCAAAATACAACAAAAGCAAACAATATCTCAGATGACTGGCCAATGAGCTGTAAATTTTTGGCAACAATATAAAGAATGATACATGTGACTAAAATGACACTTACTCTGACATGATGGTATATCTGTTCTTTGAAGGCAATCTGGTTTACTATTCTACAATAAATAATTTAAAACATTAACATTCAATTGGTATATTAGGTACTTTCTTTGAATTTTGAATGAAAATTAAATTATAAAGGAATTTTTCAATAAACCTCTCTATGCAGAAAATTGAAACTTAAGTGTTCATAAAAAAGAATCTGACAGTCTATAAAGTGCCATGCAAAGACATAACTTGTGGTCTTCTCTATTATTAGTTTGACACTGAACTTGATCCATCAATGCAGAGTTTAATGTATTTATGTGACCATGACTTGTTCAGCTAGACTAGGAATTAATGTATCTATGTGGCCATGAATTAGTCAATTCAGAGATAAAAGTATCTATGTGGCCATAAATTGATCAGGCAGTCTAGAGATTATGTATCTATGTGGTCATGAATTAATCAGTCAATTCAGAGATAAATGTATCTATGTGGCCATGAATTAATCAGTCAATTCAGAGATAAAAGTATCTATGTGGCCATAAATTGATCAGGCAGTCTAGAGATTAATGTAATTATGTGACTATGAATTGATCAGGCAGTCTAGAGATTAATGTATCTATGTGGCCATGAATTAATCAATCAATTCAGAGATAAATGTATCTATGTGGCCATGAATTGATCAGGCAATCTTGAGATTAATGTATCTATGTGGCCATAACCAGATCAGGCAGTCTAAATATTAATGTATCTATGTGGCCATGAATTGATCAATCAATTCAGGGATTAATTATCTACATGGCCATAACCGGATCAGGCAGTCTACAGATAATTGTATCTATGTGGCCATGAATTGATCAGAGAGCAAAAAGATTAACAACTTGATCAGTCAATCCAATAATGTGGTCAACATATAAAAGGTCCATTCACACTTAAAGAATTGTAATAATGACAAAGACACATTCCATTCCAACGACCATTCCTACATCCATGTTTAATTTTTTACCAGCTGACCTGATTATTATATATTTTACATCATTTCTCTCAGACTAATATAAATTACCTGAAGATATTAAAACTTTTAAACAAGCCTTTTTCCAATATACATGTAATTTAAAAATTTTACAAGATCTGAACCAATTTTTCTAGAACATTGTGCCAAGTTGATTGAGAACACTTATACTTTATTTTTGAAGCATCTGTTTCACTTAATAACATTCCAAAAATTTAGATCATTAAAATTTCATAAGCGACCTGCAATTTGCAAGCCGGGGTCTTTAAACTGTACTTCCCTACCTAGTGAGATGCATTATGCACATAGTAAGATGTTGCATTTCTTAATTAGTGTAATGTTAAAATTCTCATAACAGCCTTAATTTTAAGAGGAAAAAATTTTGAAAAATGTCTCAAGTGAGAATTTGGTTCAACATCATGTATTTTTCAAATTTATTGGAAGAAAATTGCATAACGGTTCCACTAAACCTTTGAAATGACTGAATTGCAAATAAATTCCACAATCCACAGCATTGTGAGAACAGATTAGGACACCTTCTGGAATAACTTCAAGCACATATCTAGGTCCAAAAAAATGGTTTGTCATTAACTCTACAGGTTGTCTGGTGGCTACAGAAAATAACCTATGTGAACAGTGCAGACCAAGATCAGTCAACACAGCTGGACCATCTGATCATGGTCTACACTGTACTTTATTCAGTCAGTACTTAGGGAAAATTTTCCTAAGAATGATGAGTGATTTTGTCCAGAATGAAAGATGAAGCAAGTCCATTTAAAGGGACTCCACTGAGGTTTTGTGACATGATGGAGATCAATGTTTCATTTGAAAGAGGTCTAAACTAGTAACTTGAGTGCAAAATTTTAGACCATTCGCTCATTCCATTTTTCAAAAATATTTATTCTAATTGTGACATATGACATGAAATTGAAAAAATTGCAATGCTTTTCACTCAAAAAGGGCTAAAAATAGCACAAAAATATAATTTTCAATTTATTTTTGAATTCATTTCTTGGTTTTCTTTTGAATATCTTGCTGCTTTAAGTCTCCCAGAGGTTCTATGTAAGAAATTCAGATATTACATTTTTATGTTTTTGGAAATCAGTGGGGTTCCTTTAAGATCTTTAGTGTGGTAAGGTTTTATGTTACCAACAAAGTTAGCTTACTCTACAGATGCAAACAGTGCATTTGTCAGGACTCCAGGTGTCCCCTTCTTCAAACATCTGACCCTCAAACTCACACTCTGTGTCACAACATGTCTCCAATTCTGCTATACGCTTACCTAGTTCTGTATTCTGTAAATATGAAAAAAAGAGGACAATGATGATCCTGAAGTCGCTAATTTGGCTAAATACTTGTACTTATGGTAGTGCTGTCTTTTCTCTTTAATTTTAGCATATTTCTTATACAAATTCAAAGTCAATTTTAATTTTTTTTTTTTTGTTTGGTTGGGTTTTTTCGTCGCACCACACAGTATAGGTCATATGACAACTTCCCAGCTTTACTGGTGGAGGAAGAACTCAGTTATCTTTCCATGCATAATTCAGGCACAGACAGGCATCAGAGTTAGATCCACCAACATTCAACAAGCTAGCTGGATAGCTTCCTCACATGAAAGAATCCATAGACTCTCTCGGGATTCAAAGTCACAATTGTATGGGGCAAGTGGCTTGAAATCAATGACCTTAAGCAGACGGCCACAGACGCCCCTGCAATTGGATTTTTAAATGCATAATTTACCTGTTGTTTCAAAGAGTCGACAAGCTTGTTGAGAAGGGTAATTTGTTGTTCCAATAGTAGAATTCTGTCCCCATTAATAGCTTCATCGCCAAGGTAACCACTCTCGTCAAATAAAAAACTTGCTGCAAATAAAAAAATTATGAAATATTTTAAATTTGTAGATGTTCACCTGTAAACCTTGACTTGTAAAACTTTTGATGAAGAAATGCTATTTAAAGTCTAGAAAGAAGAGTAATGAAACAAAAAACAATACAGGAGCTCGTCTGATGGCCGAATGTCTAAAACATACATTATTTATTATTCAGAATTTTAAAAACAATGTTCCAGTAGTCTTTGGATTATTAAATTTTTTTATTTCACCTGAATTTTAACAGCACTTCTTTTTTTTTAAGCACTTCTTTTTTTGACATATTTCAAACTTAGAGAAAGATTTTACAACTATGAATAAAAAAAAAATACCATAAGCAACATGGATTTATAATTTCCTGGAATTTATTTTTCCCCATTATCTTTGACAGGAAAATGGAAAACATTAAGAAAAAGGGAAAATATAGAGTTAAGAAAGTTATAATGATGGCATTATATGTTAGGGAAATCTATTAATTTTGCAAGGTTATTGACCTCTAATACATGTACATGTTCTTAATAGACTCCCGGAATTAAGAATATTTTGGTGTTTTCCCAGGCGAATCCATGGGTACAAACAAACTTGTACAGTTACCGTTTCAAAAATGAGCGCAACAGGTTGACTAATCTATTGTGACGGGCAGTTCACTGTTAAACAATAACAGTAAAAGTATGTTTATACCTATGCATTACAGTAGCTGGGAAAAACCCACATTTGCCGGGTTTCGAGTTGCGGATAACATCTTTTTGTAACAAAACCCATTAAATTTAATATGATAAATAAAATAAAAGATAAGGTACTTCATTCACCTATTAGAATTTAAACACATCATCGTCATGAAGAAAAATTGAAAAAATCTATATTTTAGGTCTTCTGCTATTTTTTTTCTGGTGATTGAAAACTCTGTGTTCTGCCCACACGGCAGATGATTTAAATGTGTTTTTTCCCTGTTAGCACTTGACAAAAATTTTCGAAAAACTTTAAAGTTGTAAACATTCCAAAAACACAATGAAAAACAGTCAATTTTTTAAAGAATTTGAATTGGAAACAGCTGACTTAACAGAATACTTGTTGCGTAATTGTTGAGGTGAAATTTTATTGGCAATTTATATAGATGAAAACATGGTAAAATCCTAAAATAATGTTCTATTTTATGATCAAAAATATCTGTGAAATTTTATATACAAGAAAGCAAAAACAAACATAAATGAAAAAAAAAACAATGAAACTGTTATGCTATGGGCAAAAACTGAGCAAAAATGACTTCAGGGTTGTCTGCCCATTAGAAATTTTGAATCCATGCTTGAAGAGGAGAGCTTTGTTTTTTAGAAGTGGACCTTATCATAAATGTAAACCCTACTGGAGTACAATATTTTTTTATATATAAAAGTAACTGAGCTTAATTCAAGGATGATTTGCCCTTTTGAAATGGTGTCACATTTTCATACACATACTAAGTTTAAAGTATCCAGCTTTGAGAGAAGCTTTATGAAACAATGGTGAACCCACACAGACACCAACAAGAGGGGCGGGACATGACAAATACTTAAGCTCTGACTTTTTACTGTGAAACAATTGGAGCTAATAATAAAGTGATAATGTCTGGGAAAAAATCTGACAGAAGCAACCTTTGCATATTAAACTGATTTGAGGGGAAAAAAATGTAAAATATAGTGTCCAATATGATAAATGATACAAAATAAAGTCAGGTCTAAAAAAAAGCTAACATTTTAACTGACTCCAGTTTACCGTGTTCAAAATTTGTTTGGGGGCAGAGAGTGGGAGGGGGTGTGGGGGGTGAAAATATAAACATGACTGTACATGTATATAACATTTTTTTAACAGAATTCATATTCATAAAGATCACGGTATTGTAAAACGTAGTTAAACTTTTTTTGCAGCGACTTTTTTTATTTCGACTCATTTTCTCATATTTTTTTTTCAAACAAAATAGAAAAGACTTTTGGTTTGTACCAGTCTTCACATGGTGTTCTTTATGTAGCTAACAAATTATACCACTGTGAGGAACAAACTTACGGAAAATCCCACCACTGAGAGGGAATACTTTAAGTGCCTGAGTGTGAATAATCTAAGTAGGAATAATACAGACTGCTCCACTGATTGTACAAATTCACCCACCTACCGTGAACATAAAAAAGTCTTGTGGAAGTAATCTAACTAACCTCAACATACTTATCCCTTACCTTCAACATAAAACCCCTATCAAAGGGTACATGGTGATTTCGAACAGGCATGCTGTGAAGACTGAATAAAGGCTGCTTAAATAATTTCTATAATGAAACTGAAGTATGTGTAGAAATCAAAGGTGGGGGCATGCAGGGATGAATTTATGTGCTGGTAATTGCAGAATTAGCTGATAAAATGATGTTTCATTATAACCATGTGCTACATGTTATTTCTTCTTCATTTAACCACTGGGTTGGGTTAATCAAATCATGTAAAGTTTGATAGAATGTAAGTACAGGAAGAACTTTATTGCTACAAAGGATTAGCCTATACTAAAAAAAGTTGTGAAGTTGTTGTTATTGGGTATATGTAAAATGTTGAGGCAGAGGGTCTCGAGAATATCTGTCCTAAATACAGTCTAACTGGGCTGTCAGCTAACCTGCCTTTGGGACAAGTATCCTTAATACAGCAACAATTGACCCTAATTTTATGACGCTCAGAACAGGAAATATTTGTATAATGAGACTTAACAGCAATTTGAGCTTATTCATTTCTATCAATTTGATTCATCATCAAAAACATTAGACTGTCTTCTCACATGATATTACTTGTTTTTGGCCAAATTTTGCCAGTTCGGCATTACTTATTCACAATTTGTTGTTTTTTGCTTAATTTTGCCAGTTCGGCATTACTTATTCACAATTTGTTGTTTTGGGCAAAATTTTGCCAGTTCAGCATTACTTATTCACAATTTATTGTTTTTGGCCAAATTTTGCCAGTTCAGCATTTATTTACTTATTCACAATTTATTGTTTTTGGCCAAATTTTGCCAGTTCTGTATAACTGATTCACAATTCTGACCTTATTTTCACATTCCTGTGTTATGGGATAAACTTAATTTTCTTAGAGAAGAACACTAAAGATGTTTTACTGAAGCATAAAATGACCTTACCTGGTTGAGAACATAGCAGTTGGCTTTTCTTGATGGCATATGTGTAAAGCTTGGCCTGAAACAGTGCTCCCTACAAAATAATAAAATACTGAGTGTGAAGGGATAGGGCAAAGTATGAATAAAGATTTCATCACTTCTGTTAAGCAATAATATTGGTAGATACAAATAATTGTACTTAGTTCTAAGTCACTAAAAAGGGGGCCATAATTCAGGTAAAATACTAGAGAGAATTAATAAGTCCTCTTGTATGAAGGTCACAAATAGGTATTTAAGTTTCAAAGTAATACCTAAAATGGTATAAGAAATAAGTGGGCTGGTATGGAAAACCAAAGTGTATTGTAGATGTTGATGCCCACAGTATGGGTAAAAGTAATCATAGCAACATCCTTTTTAAGTCAAATTACCAAAGCAATCTATTCTGTGTGAGTAAATCATCAATAGCAACCAATACTCATGGAGTTAAATCATTAGCCCCATAATCATTGATTCAAATCATCATCTCGATATACTCATAAGTATCATTGGAGAATACTTATTTAGCCAAATATTCATAGTTCCCTACTTATTGGGTCAAATCATCATAGGACCAATTATCATAGTGACATACTTAATGGATAAATCATCATAGTAACATACTTATTGGGTCAATACATCATAGCAAACATACTTCTTTGGTCAAATCATCATAGTAACACACATATTGGGTCAAATCATCATAGCAACATACTTATTGAGTCAAATCATCATAGTAACATACTTAATGGGTCCAATCATCATAGCAAAATACTTATTGGGTCAAATCGTCATAGTAACATACTTAATGGGTCAAATCACCATAGCAACATACTTAGTGAATCAATTATCATAGTAACATATTTATTAGGTCAAATCACCATAGTAACATACTTAATGAGCCAATAATCATAGTAACCTACTTAAAGGCTAAATCATCATAGTAACATACTTGTTGGGTCAAATCATCATAGCAACACACCGACTTATTGGGTCAAATCATCATAGTAACATACTTAATTGGTCAAATCGTCATAGTAACATACTTAATGGGTCAAATCATCATAGTAACATACTTAATGGGTCAAATCATCATAGTAACATACTTAATGGGTCAAATCATCATAGTAACATACTTATTGGGTCAAATCATCATAGTAACATACTTAATGGGTCAAATCATCATAGTAACATACTTTATTGGTCAAATTGTCATAGTAACATATACTTAATGGGTCAAATCATCATAGTAACATACTTAATGGGTCAAATCATCATAGTAACATACTTAATGGGTCAAATCATCATAGTAACATACTTAATGGGTCAAATCTGATTATCATCATCGTAACATACTTAATGGGTCAAATCTGATTATCATCATAGTAACATACTTAATGGGTCAAATCTGATTATCATCATAGCAACATACTTAATGGGTCAAATTATCATAGTAACATATTTATTTGGCCAAATATTTAGAGCACTACTTAAACAGCATCATACTTATTAGATTATTGGGTCATATCTATATAGCACCATAATATATGGGTCAAATCACAATAACAATGTATTTATTGAGTAAAATGATGATGGATCAGTAATTACTGGGTCAAATTAGGAAACTATTTTTATCTGGTCAAATTTAAATGACAATAGGACTGTTCACTATAATAATAGCTACCAGTAGAACAGCGTGCCCAAATATTCTCAGTCAGGTTTAATAGTTAAACAAGAGCCTGGATATTGGAGAATTTTCAGTTCAAAAAAGGGCCATAACTCTATCAGAATCCATGTTAGAGTTATGGGCCTTGGACATTTTCTCCTCTTATGCTCTGAAGTAAGTATTTGAAGATTCCACCTATTCCCTTCAGTTGTTTTGCAGATACTAACTTGCACACAAAATCTGAATCAAAGAGTGTCAACGACATCTGGGTGAGGACAATAGCTCTCCCTATTATTTGGAAAGTTGAGCCAATAAAATGGAACTTATTGGGTCAGTTCATGATCATTCAAAGCACCTTATTTAATAGGCCAATTCATGAGAGCACTACCATTATCTTAATGTCAACCATTAATCATACTCAGCATATTGATGGGTCTATGTTAATAGTAAGGGTTTTATGCTGCCCCCATCCCTCCATAATACCTGTCTTATAAGAGGAGATTAGCAAAAAGTGCCATTTTTGGGACAAAATTAGGATCCCCATCTTATAAGTGGTCAATCTTACAGGTGAGTAAATACGGTAATTTATTATGCTTCCTTTCCTAACTAGTAATGAAATTATGCCAAATATACCCAAATTTTTGAAGGTGTAACTTTTACTGCCAATTAAAATACTTACATGAAATTTATTATCACCATATTTGTCACTAGCCAAAACACCAAATGCCCGCTTTGAGATCTTCTGTAACCTTTGAGGCAATGCTATAGATTTTTCCACATCACACCCTAGCCTCGCTGTGAAATGTGTTTCACTTAAAACCACAGATAAAACCTTCCAGTCTACTAATTCCTTACCAAAGTTCAAGGTCACCCTCTGGAATGATGTTTTACCTAGGTAACGAAGAATTATCCTTCTTTTCAAAATATCTAAACTAATTTCAGCAAGTGGTAATTTTTTCTTTTTTAAATAGATTCCGAATAATGTCGATATTGACTGTTTTTGAGAAAATCCTATGAATTCTAGAGTAAGCTCCCTTGTCTTTTTATGATGTATTTTGTGAAGATCAAGATGAATCGTCTCCCTTGATTTATCTTGAAATGACCATGCCTTCACTTCTGGATTGTCTCCTATTTTAACCAGGTCTGAATGAGGTAATCCTTTCAGTAAATCTAGACCTGAAAAATGAAGAAAATGAAATAAAGTATGTTCATTACTGTTTACATGATTTTTTATAAAAATGACTCTTTACTGTTACAGATTCAACAGAGTCTAACTTTGTCTTGGTTTCAGGATTAAACACAGTTTAACTTTGAGTGTCTGGATTCATCAGAGTATTATTTTGTCAAAGTTTCAGGATAACTTTGTTTTAATTTCAGGATTCAACAATTATTTTGTCTTAGTTTCAGGATTCAACAGAGTATTATTTTGTTTGTCAGTTTCAGGATTCAACAGTGAATAACTTTTTCTGAGTTTCAGGATTCAACAGTGTATTACTTTTTCTGAGTTTCTGGATCTGTATAACTTTGTCTAAATTTCAGGAAAATATCTTTGTCTGGGTTTCAGGATTCAACAGTGTATTACTTTTTCTGAGTTTCAGGATTCAACAGCATATTATTTATTCTGTGTTTCTGGATCCAACAGTGTATAATTATCTTTGTCTAAATTTCAGGATTTAATATAAAGTATCTTTGCCTGGGTTTCAGGTTCCAACAAAGTACATGTATTACTTTGTCTTACTTTCGTACTTTCATAGCAGAGTACTATGTTGTGTGGATTTCGTGATTACAGTTTGTTTATTTACTCAATTTCTAGCTTTTACTAGTGAAGAAAGACCCTATACCACACCAGTCCTGTGCATTAGTTCAGGCAAATATTAGCAATGTAGACCTGTCTGATTATCCAGGTATTAGCTAGTGGAACAGTGTCCCATTATTAAAGAAATTAATGTTATCAGTGGTTAGGGGCAAGTGATTTCAATAAGCAACTTAATCCATGTTTTGTAAATTTAACTTTGACCAATACAAACACTTGCCAAATGAAAATGGGATTAGTGATAATGAAATTGTTGAATATACATTCAATTTGGAAATCTAAAAAATGACTAAAAATGAAAGTTTACAAGCCCTATGAAAGATTAAACAAATTTACAATCAAGTTAAACTAACTAATTAAATCATCTTGAACACTAGGCAAATAAATAATTTCGAAGTAAAATGAAACATTGAAAATAGTCAGAAGAAAAAACTTTAATAAACTAGACATATCACTGAAGGTGATTAATACCCCCACCAACAACTTTGACTTTTTGAAAAAAAAGTAGTCTGAAGAAAAATTTGAACACAAACTATCAACGGTGTACAAAGAAATATTTCAATTAATTGTAATCGCAACTGGGGTCTCGAAATAAGCTTGCTATACACCAAGTTTGATTACAATATCTCATTCCTAACTCTAGTTTGTCAGGAAACCATTTTTTTCTATTTTTAGTAACACTGTAAGAGTGACCTTGACCCTAGGGGGTCCAAATGCAATACCAACCCAGGTCTTCATATAAGCTTCCTATACACCAAATAAGATTACAATATCTCATTCCTAACTCTAGTTATTGTCCGAAAACCATTTTTCATAACGGTGACCTTGACCTTGACCCCAGGGGGCCCAAATGCAATACCAACCAAAGTCTTCATATAGGCTTGCTATACGCCAAGTTTGATAACAATATCTCATTCCTAACTCTTGTTAATGTCCGGAAACCATTTTTCTATTTTTAGTAACACTGTAAGAGTGACCTTGACCCTAGGGGGTCCAAATGCAATACCAACCCAGGTCTTCATATAAGCTTCCTATACACCAAATAAGATTACAATATCTCATTCCTAACTCTAGTTATTGTCCGAAAACCATTTTTCGTAACGGTGACCTTGACCTTGACCCCAGGGGGCCCAAATGCAATACCAACCAAAGTCTTCATATAGGCTTGCTATACGCCAAGTTTGATAACAATATCTCATTCCTAACTCTTGTTAATGTCCGGAAACCATTTCTCTATTTTTAGTAACACTGTAACGGTGACCTTGACCCCAGGGGGTCCAAATGCAATACCAACCCAGGTCTTCATATAAGCTTCCTTTACACCAAATTAGATTACAATATCTCATTCCTAACTCTATTTATTGTCCGGAAACCATTTGTCTATTTTTCCTAACGGTGACCTTGACCTTGACCCCAGGGGGTCCAAATGCAATACCAACCCAGGTCTTCATATAAGCTTGCTATACACCAAGTTTGATAACAATATCTCATTCCTAACTCTAGTTATTGTCCGGAAACCATTTTTCTATTTTTAGTAACGGTGACCTTGACCTTGACCCCAGGGAGTCCAAATGCAATACCAACAGTCTTCATATAGGCTTGCTATACGCCAAGTTTGATAACAATATCTCATTCCTAACTCTTGTTAATGTCCGGAAACCATTTCTCTATTTTTAGTAACACTGTAACGGTGACCTTGACCCCAGGGGGTCCAAATGCAATACCAACCCAGGTCTTCATATAAGCTTCCTTTACACCAAATTAGATTACAATATCTCATTCCTTACTCTAGTTATTGTCCGGAAACCATTTGTCTATTTTTCCTAACGGTGACCTTGACCTTGACCCCAGGGGGTCCAAATGCAATACCAACCCAGGTCTTCATATCAGCTTGCTATACACCAAGTTTGATAACAATATCTCATTCCTAACTCTAGTTATTGTCCGGAAACCATTTTTCTATTTTTAGTAACAGTGACCTTGACCTTGACCCCAGGGAGTCCAAATGCAATACCAACCGGAGTTTCCATATAAGGTTGCTATATACCAAGTTTGATTACAATACCACATTCCAAACTCTAGTTATCGTCCGGAAACCATGATGTGGACGGACCGACGGACCGACCGACCGACCGACCGACCGACCGACAAGCTGACTCCTATATACCCCCCCTAAACTTCGTTTGTGGGGGTATAATAATTTCAAAGTAAAATGAAATTTTGAAAATAGTGTTTCTTTACATAACTATATACTTTTTATAGTTCTAGTATGACTATGAAAATGCCAGGTTTCAAATTTAAAGTAGCTAAGTAGCTAAAAACGCCATCAAAAGTTAGTTTCAAGAGAAATATATGCTAGAACGGCTATCAATGAATATACTGATTGACAGAAAGCAATAAATCAGGGCATTATGGATAGAAGGAACAACTGTATATATCTATCATCAGCTAATTATAGCCTCATTTAGTACCATTTTACTGTTAAAACATCAGTTGTTACTATCTATCCACGTCAACCCTTTGACAAGAAAAGTAATATTTCAAAAAAAAAAATAAATTAATAAAATTAATAAAACCATGAAATTACATAGTTAAGGAACTAGGTGGAAATTTTGCGAGTATGGGTGGTCATCTAAGAGTGTGAAGTATAAAAACCCATGACATTGCATAGTTATTAAACTTGGTGGAAATTTTGCTGAGTATGGGTGGTGATCTAATTGTATTAAGTATAAAACCCTACAACTAAACCCTTAAACTGTTGGTATCAAAAGAAATTAGCCTTAAAGTGGATTGGTCTACAACGAGTACATTTTCCATGAGGGTTTCAAATTGTTAAGTAAAAGAATAGAAATTCATCATTCTAAGTAATTATGCATGAACAACTATAGTTTAGTAATAATATTTTGTTCTAGAACATTATTTATTATCAGTGCTATGATGTATATATTGTCATCTCAAATCATGTATCTCACACTAACAAACATCCATATATAATTCTTTTATGGTTTGTTATTATATATGATACTGTACACTATTGATATGATCATCTTGATATCCAAAATACTGATAATGGGAAGTGTCAAATAATTGAAGCTGGTCAATTTGAAAAATTCAGCAGATGAATTAAGGGTTAAAAGAAAGGTCAAAGGTCCATTATAAATACTGTATCCATGCTCTCGGTATCTCTGAAAAGAACTGGCAGTTAAGGGAGCATTGAAAATTTGGGCAATGGAAATGAGACAGTAAATAAACCAAAATGAAGAAGAAGAAAAGAAAGAAACCACATCTGAGTGTGTAATGCAGTCTGTTGGATGTTTAATTTTCACAGACAAGCCATCAAAGTTTTTTAGGTTTTTTTCATTTTTTTTCCAAATACTTTTTATACCCTCTAAACAGTTCCCAAAATTTCCTTGCTGTCTTTAAAATTTTAACACCTGAAGATCAGCATGTGGGGTTACTGATAAGCACAGCCTGTCAAGACACAAATCTCTCACCGACAGAAAGCTTCAAAACATTTTATCTCTAGTCATCAATTTATATAGCATACATGAGTAAATCCTAACTGGGCATCATTTCTTCATTCCAGACTTTTCACTCCAAATATTTTCCTTACCTTTTGAACCCTTAAAGGCACATTATGTCTCTAGAATAAATAATTTTGCTCCTCTTCAGAAAGGGCAAATATTTTTATGGTGAATTTTAAATATATACGAGGGATGATAAAAAATTATCCGGACTTTGTAAATAATTTTTTAACTGATAAATGAATTTACATAAAAATACAATGACAATAAATCGGAATCTTTCCCCTATATGATACAGAAAAAAACAACAAGAAATATTAATAAAGAAAAAAGTTATGCTTTCATTGGCATGTACATGTAAAGCAATGCGGCGCACGGTATATATGAAAAATTGACGTTAACGACGTCACAAGCGTAATGTCCTTAACAGAGCAGCTTTTTACTCATTCACGAAGTAGGCCAATACGTGGTACACATGTTATCCACTGCCTATATATATATCTCTGTACAAGTTGGTATAATATTGTATTGTTATAAAACGGATGATGATAAAGAGCTCCTGTAATTACGCAAACTCCCGTTCTTTCCTATTGTAACATGATTGCTGGAAAAATTGCACATGCAATAAACTATATTATGTATGAATAATGTTGCTGAATGATAATGTATCATACATACTAGAAAATAAAAGAATAATACAACTAAGAACAAAATTGTCATTATTTTAAAATAAATAAAACGCATAGCCGAATTTGAACCGTGACTGTTAAATTGTTGATACAATTTCTCCATAAGACTACTGCGTAAATTAATAAAATAATTTATACAATTGTAAACCA